CCCAGGATGGCGTCGTCTGCTGGGTCGTCGCGCGGTCAGAGAACACCGCCGCGCAGTCGGACCAGCGCGTACGACTCGTGTCCTGGGCCCGGCGCTCAGAGCGTGTCCACCTCGAACTTGCGTTGACCTTGAGCGTTTGAGCTCTCTTTCGCCCACTTATCTTTTGTTCGCGAGCTCTCTGTGACCTGCGCCTGTTCTGTACGGCGAACAGACACGAAAAGGGGAGCGTTGATACATACCAGCTTGACTGTCGAAACAAAAATACCACAAAAGCAAGTGACACATGGACATAAACATTTCCGGGGCTTTTTGGATAATTGAACAGGCTCGAACTCGCGCGGTTCACCTGATGAGTTGGACCGATGATATGCCAAGTAGATGAACCACTTGGACTCGGCACAATTGAACGCCCAATCGCAAGTCTGTGAGACAGTGAGCCATCCCTTTGCTGGTGAGACAAGTGAGCCATGCTGTCCCGCTCGGCCATCTCGCGAGGACTTCGACATTCTTCTGTACATCGTCTGGGTGCTCTGCGTCTGGTCGCATCTGGTTTCACTCCGTCATCCGAGCAACCAACCCAGGAGGCCGGCCCTGCGCAGGGTTCCAGTTCGCGCCGTCCAACGTCATGGCTCACACGAAAGCTGGAGGATTCTCCAGCAGCTAAGAGTGCTTTTCTGAAATTCGCGACCTTTATGGGATATGGTAGCCCCAAACAAGTTGCTGGCCGAAGAGCGTTCGCTATGTATGAGCGGCTATGCGTCGTCAGACCTGACGAGGATAAGGCGTTTTGGCAGGACGGTGAGCATGAGCATGATCCTTTCTATTTGGTCGATAGCAAGCGGGTTTTCGAGTGCGATAGTTCTGACGGATCACTTATGCGACTTTTCGCCAGATTGTCACCTCCCACCCACATTCCAGTCGTGGTTCACTGTCGTGAATCTTCATGTTTGGATGCTCACCGTGCGTCTGCGTGCGCTTCCGCCACCACACGGGATGAACCACATTCAAGCCCTCATTGACCACTTCTTCTTGGACGTCGAAGACCGCGTTCGTGCCGTCCTCCAGCCCGCAACTCCTGACGCAATGGTCTCTATCTCTCCCCATGGGCCATACACCACACCGTCGGCGTTCTATGTCGTCGCCAATGGTGGTAAACCGCGACCAAAAGGAAAAGCTCCGGAGATGCTCGTCTCGAAGCAGATGAAGATCTTCAAGGAGCAGTGGGCAGGCATGGGCATGTCCTTCGACGTGTCGCTCCTCCGCGGCGACGCGGACATGGCCGCTGTCATCTGGCGCAACCTCCTCGGTGGACGGGGTGCGCGGGGCATCGTATACCCGTCCGATGAGGGCACGTCTTCGACACAGCCCCATTTCAGGCGTTCAGTTAACCTCGTTGGCGGCGAGGTGGAGAAGGTGAAAAAGATTGCCAAGCGCGGACTCGAGCTGGAGGAGGCCCGAGATGATGGCTCGGGTGTCCACGATTACTTGCCGAGCGAGGCGGACAAGTATGTCGCGTATCCAGAGCTTATGGTCGCCCTGGTTTCGTATATCAGACGGGAGCTCGTCAGGCTGCAGAACATTCCGGACGAGGTTGTCATGGGTGCTGGAGTTACTGGGAAGGAGGGAGAGGGGGTTCCGGAACTCAAGTTTGGGCGGATAGTACAGGAAGGACGTGCACTCGTTGTCTGACCAAAGTCTTGGGGACCTTGGGAGCGGCCTTGAAGTACATTAATAGTTGTTTGCATAATACTAGATATCTCTGCTCTTGCACGTCGGAGACTCGGGAGTCGGAGTTCAGTTGGAGAACTGCCTTTCTCTAATCTCATGTTGTAGAAGGTGTAATCTTTCGCAGCACTTGCACGGCGAGTTTAAATAATTCTCATGTAGGCTTTTTACCCAGTATATATCAAACTAAGTAACACGGGGAACTGAGCCGCGTCGGTTCGGCGCTAGTCAAAGATCCAATTGAATCCAGGTTGAATTAGTCCGATTTCTGCTATCGAAAGATGCCGGCTCAACATATTCCTACTTCCATTCTTACTTCCTGGTAATTTCTGCTTTCCTTTCGCCAGATTAGAGTCTAGACAACGACAAAACGCAGCAGCTGCGCGACCGCCTATGGAGGGCGAGCACTCCTCCACTTCAGCGATAGACTTGACCGGGACACCTGCTGGCATTGGTATGTCTCACCCGGACTCACCTTCGCTCGCGCCTTCGGGCAGCCGGAATAGCTTTGCACGCCGACGAGCAAGTTGGGGGCGCAACGATGTCGGCCAGGACCCTCTGGGTATCAGACTGTCTCCAGCCGACGTGCAGAGACCAGGGGAGTTCGGGTGGAATCTCGACGACGACCCGTTCGCCTCTCCCTTGGACAACGTATACGCGGTGCAGGAGCTGCCGTATAGGAATACGGAGGCGCGCTACACGACGACAACTGGACAGTTCCCCACGTCGCAGGCCGGCCCTTCTTCGGTCTCGTTGGTATCTGAATCCCGTAGCTCGGTGGACGCCAGTGCAGAGGGCGACGAGGCGCGCTTGACGGGGGACATGCCGAGGTACGTGAAAGGTAGTGAGTGGGGTCTGCCGGACGATGGGGATCCTGAGCGGTCGGCCATGCGACGGAAGAATGCGAGATACAGTGCGTCGCCGTCGCCGTTCAAAAGAACAGGCAACACGTTGAAGCTGATGTCGCGCGGGTTGCAACGTGCATCCACGCGCGTGGTGAACCTTGCTGGCTTTGGGTTGGAGGAGCATGTGCGTCTAGCAGATGTTGACAATGACTCGGAGGCTACGCTCGCTGACAAGACTCGAGGCGACGACGATGACGATGACGACGACGACGAAGGGCAATACGCTGTGCTTCCGGACTTGTCGAGACGGCTTCCCATCCGCGGGCGGACACTCGGAATTTTGGGACCTACGAGCAAAGTGCGCATGGCTATGTATCGATTGCTTGTGTACCCGTGCGTGAGCGCATATGTGGTCATCGTTTGCCGCTAATTGGCGTTCACAGATGGACCGAACCTCTTATTTTATTGCTGATCATATTCAATGCAGTTGTCTTAACAATACAGTCTCAGCGATCGGCCGCGCTCCCTGAGAATTACAGCGGAGAACCGGCGCCGGTGAAAGGTTACTTTCACCAATGGGAAGACTACGCGCTGTTTGCTCTCTTCTGTTTCTTCACGTAAGCGAACGCAGTGCTCATGATTTTTTCAAATTGTTGATGAAATACAGTGTTGAGGCATTCGCCCGAATATGTGTATCAGGATTCCTGCTCGACCCCGAAATTCCGATATCATCGCTCCTCTCCGCCTTTTCGTTTTCTGTATACCCCGACTCGTCCATACCCGCAGGCCATGTAGAGCCTCGCACACCACTGTCTCGTCACACGTCGCTCGCACGTTCCAACTCGCATCGCGCACCTAAACATACGTTCACTCAACGTTTAGAACAGCTGCTTACCAACCTCGCGCGCCCTTTCGCATTGCGACATGATGTCATGTCTCTACCTAGGCAAGAGCCTACTCAAGCACCACGGACGCCATCACATCTCCGATCCGACACTGCACAATCAAAGACTCCCATGATCGAGAGGGCCTATGCAAAGGCGAAGGAGGTGCATACACATATGCGCAACCCAACACATCCGAATATTCTCTCCACGGCTCTCCGCTCGGACAATCCGGACTTGTTAGCTCTGCCGTTTCGCCTGAATATTGCAGAGGCGCGCGTCCATACCCAACGGAACGTTCCGTACCTTCGTCATAGCTGGAGTAGGATTGATTTCGTTGCTGTTGTGAGCTTCTGGATTTCATTCATATTAGCTACCACTGGAGTGGAGCGCGGTCGGTATCATATTGGTATATTTCAAGCCATGAGTGTTTTGAGAACCGCAAGGCTTCTGACAATTACGTCCGGTACCACTGTAAGTGCGATCGAAGATCCACCAATGGCTTGCTATCATTTATCACTCTTACAGACGATCATGCGCTCGCTAAAAACTGCTCGGCCCTTACTTGCAAGTGTCGCATACTTCGTGATCTTCGCTATGATTTTGTTTTCGTGAGTACTTCCGTCAGGATGTCTTTGTATATGGATGTTGTATTGACCGTGTATGTGTCAGAATTATTGGTATACAGGCATTCAAGGGTTCTTATTTGCGCTCATGTAATTTGCTGCCAACATTGGGTGAATCGGAGATTAACCTAACTCAAAACTGTGGCGGGTGGATCAATTCAGACACCCTAGAGGTCATGGGTTATGTAAAACAAGATGGTACGTATGGAGATGTGAAGGGATTCATCTGTCCAAAAGGTTCGGTATGCATGGTGAGTGGAGTATCAACCTGTTGTATTATTCAGTGCCAGATGCGACGCTGATATTATGTCGCAATTGCACAGGAGAACTCGATGAACCCGTATAATAATATAGAAAGCTTCGACACCATATACTACTCAGCACTGCAAGTGTTTATTGTTGCTTCTTCTAACGGCGTATGTACCCTCTACACTTCCTTCCGATAAATCACTTCTAACAAATTCGCAGTGGTCCCCAATCATGTACAATATGATGGAGGCCGAATTTTTCATCTCGTGCTTGTTCTTCATAGGCTGTATCGTTGTCCTCAACTTTTGGTTGATCAATCTCTTCGTTGCTGTCATTACCAATACCTTTGCTGCCATTAGGGCGGGCACGCAGAAGAGTGCTTTCGGAGCTGCATCGTGAGTGGCTCTCGTACCAGATATCAGTGACGAATGTAAGGATTGATGACAATATCAGCATAGCGCCTGTTGTTGATGAAAGCGATGACGGATGGACCGTTGTCGACGGCAAGCGAATCTCTAGTCGTAATCGCATCAAAGAAATATACCAGAACATTCGGTGGTGTTGGGTTGCCCTGGCCCTTGCATCACTTGTTTTACAGGCGACTCGGACAGTTGACATGAGTGCCACGCACATCCAAGTTCTCAGCTTGGGCGAATTGGCCCTCACCGTCGCGTTCGACATCGAGATAGTCGTCCGAATCATCGCCGAGTTCCCGGACTGGCGTGCCTTCTTCACTCGAGGTCAGAACCTGCTAGATCTGGTGCTCGCTATCGGTTCCAGCATTATCCAGGTTCCTGCGATTCATGACTCGTCTATCTATCCTTGGTTGACCATCTTCCAATTGATGAGATTTTATCGAGTCATCTTGGAGATACCGAGAATGAAACCGCTATTAGTGAGACTCTTTTCTCACTCGCCGCGGCTTAAGACTTATCCAAATCTCGCAGTTGGCAGTATTCGGGAACATGTACGGTTTGGCCAATATGACGCTTTTCCTCATCATACTTAATTACATCGCTGCTCTGGTGGGAGTCCAGCTTATGCGAGGTGACATTCCGAGGGGAGAATTCATTGACTACGGCCAAGTCTACAACTCATTTCTGGCCGCATATCAATTGTTCTCGTCGGAGAACTGGACGAACGTATTATATGGCGTTGGCCCTCCAGAGATTTTGCTGAGACAGGCTCCGATCGTCATCCTGTATCTCACGGGCTGGTTTTCTTTGGCCAATTGTAAGACTCATTCTGTTTGGAGTGTCTTTCCTGTGCTGATATTGCTAAAGTTATCATTATGCAGATGTTTATTGCCGTAATCAACGAGAATTTTCAAGTCGCCGAGGAGTCAAAACGCAGCAGACAGGCATCTCACTACTGGGCTTCTCACCAATTGCAGAAGACGGAAATCTCGTGGTTGCGCAAGCTGAACCCCTACGTATGGTTGAAGGCACAGCCAAAAGCAATCGCGGTGGAACATCTCCCGTCAAATCTTGTCCTTCCTATGCAGAAGACCCTGGTTGAAGACTACGCGTTGCCCAAGGATCCAGCACTCAACAAAGTAAGTCACACTTATTCTTGAAGCGAGTATTGTTCTCACATTCATGATAGGATACCTGGGGACAGAGAGGCGTGCCTCGAAGGTATTCTCCCAAGGCTTATCTGCAGAAGTTACAACGTCTGTTTTATGGCGAAGCCGATGTTGATTCAGTGCCAATGGCCACAATTAGAAACGGTAGACGGGACTCTACTCTCCCTCAAGATCAGATAGACGAAGAGACTGAACGCCACTTGTAGGTTGTCCTCATTTCTGTGGTCTGTCTCTAACAATATTCCAGGGAGGTTCTAGCAGCTCTGAATTCTGAGACAGTCGCTGCAGAGGACCTAACAGATGTTCTCTACGAGCGTCGTGCACGAAAGGCCGATTTCATTCGCGATCACCCAACATATGACAAAACGTTTTGGATCTTCTCTCAAAAGAATATCTTGCGTCGGATGTGCCAGAAAATTGTCGTTCCAGCTGGGGGAGAGCGGATTTTTGGCTCGTCTCATTCTCGAATCGCTCATCCGATTTTTCAGCTGATCCTGCTCCTCGCTGTCATTGGTGGAATTGCGGTTGAATCTATTGCGACACCTCTCTATCGTCGCAGCTACTATGAGCAACATGGTCTCATCCGCGGTTCTTGGTTCGATATCACGGAAACTGCCTTTGGCCTGACGCTGCTTTTGGAGTTTGTCATCAAGGTCGTCGCAGATGGATTTGTCTTCACGCCAAACGCCTACGTACGAAGTATCTGGAATATTCTCGATCTTCTTATTCTGTCTGGGGCTTCAGTCAACATCATCACCGGATTAATCTTTATAGGAGGACTAAGCCGTCTCACCAGGTCACTTAAAGCTTTACGTGCTCTTCGTTTAATAACTCTAGTTGACATGATGAGGTCTACGTTCGAATCCCTCATCATTTCTGGAGTCTCGCGAATCCTCGATGCTTGTCTTCTCGCAATTTTGTATATGATTCCGTACGCCGTCTGGGGCCTCAATATCTTTGCCGGTCTCATGAAGGAATGCAATGATACTAGCGTCTCGGACATTACCCAATGTGTCAACGAGTACAGCAACACAATCTACGGCAGCTCATTTGGCTTTATGGCCCCTAGGGCATGGTCCGATCCTTCCCCTTCCACTACTTTTTCCTTCGATACTTTCCGGACATCCTTGCTGATCCTCTTCGAGATCGTCTCTTTGGAAGGATGGGTTGATGTGATGACTGTTGCAGTCAATATTGTAGGGCCTGGCCAACAACCACAGACGAATGTAGCCCAGTTTAACTCCATCTTTTTCTTGATTTACAATCTCTTGGGAGCCGTGATCATCCTCACGCTTTTTGTCAGGCGAGCATTGAGTTTGGCTGAGACTTGCCGAGCATCCTTTGACTTTCTCTTCCAGTATCATTATTGGCAACTTCACTTCGAAGACGGGTTCGGCACTCCTGACACAAGCTCAGCGAGAATGGATTGACCTCCAAAAGCTTATCAAGCGCCAAAGACCATCCAAACGACCCATCAGCAAACCATCTTGGCCTCCACGGGCTTGGTGCTATGACCGTGCAGTTCACAAACACGGGTGGTGGCATCGAATGATGACGGTGATCTTCACGTTACACGTATTTGCGCTAATGTGAGTGTTACCGCGATATAAAGTTTACGATGTCCCATGTTATTTTCTAGGACGCAGACTCTTGGAACAACGTCGGCATACGACAACGTTCGCGGTAAGAGAACTGTCTCGTTCTCATCTCAGCTCAATAACGAAGTACCTCAGATGATTTCTTCCTCGTGGTCACTGTTGTGTACACAATCGATACCATCGTTCGGCTGTTTGGACAAGGTTGGCGGAGCTTTTGTGCGAATGGCTGGAACCTCTTCGACCTCGTCGTAGCCTTTGGAAGTCTTCTGACGTCGTTCATTACGCGCTTCGGATCTACTGGTTATGTCGAAGAACAGCTGCAGAAATTATTTATCACCTGCATTGCTCTCAAATTGGTACAACGAACGAATAGTCTTAACAAGTTCTTCAAAACGGCAGTGTACGTCAGTTTTAATTATGCATTCATGATCTATTTTAATAATTCACAGAGCGAGCCTGCCCGCAATTATAAGTCTGCTATGCTTGTGGATGATTCTCTTCTTGTTCTTCGCTATCACGTATATGGAGGTCTTCAGTTTGACGAAGTGGTATTCGGCAGAAACCCCCAGCGAAAACTATACAACTATCGCTAAAGCCTTGGTGATGCTAGCGTTTATGACCACAGGGTAAGCTATAATGCTGTCCTATAATCGCAGAGTACTGACACAGATCCAAGGGAGGGTTGGAATCAATATATGCACGATTTGTGAGTGAGCGTCTGTAATGTATCGGCTAGTCTAAGGACGAGCTTCTAGTACAATTGAATACCCGCGCTGCACCAATCTGTCGAACGGTGATTCTGATTGTGGCAGCGAGGCATGGGCATTCACACTGTTCATTGCCTGGAATCTTATCAGCATGGTAAGCTACTTGCGACTATGGTCTATAGGGGCTGTTGAACTTATCTTATCTCAAGTATATTTTTGCCAACCTCTTTGTCGGTACGTAAACGTTTATATTTTATCCTCTCTCTCTCTCTACACATCCGACTTCTAGGTCTGGTGGTGGAAAGCTTCTACTACGTCTTCCAATTGTCGGGCGGAGCAAAATCGATCACTCGTGAAGAGATGCGTGCTTTCAAGAAAGTTTGGGCCGAATTCGCGAATCCGAAGACTGGTTATCTTGAACGTAATCGCTTCGTGGCATTCTTCGGGGTCGGTAGTCCAGACGATTGATTTTCTCAAACCTGATAACCTCTTGATAGAAATTGAGTGGCGTCTTTGAGGTCAGAATTTACCCTGCGGAACACAGTATCCCAAATATTATGGCACGGTCGTCGGATTCCGAGTCAACCGACCGCATCGTAGATGGACTCAATCTCGACCAGCTAGAGGCAACATTGACCACAATTGATCGCGCCGCAATAAAGAGGAGGAAAAACCTGTACAACAGGCTTTATCATGAAGCCCGCATCTCCTATGAGCCTGGAAAGGGCATATCGTTCACAAGTATGCTCCTGTTGCTGGCACACCATAAGCTTATCGTGGATCGTGATGCCTTGGTGTGAGTCCGCATTCACTGCATTCACCTTTCTGGTCACTGATGTGTTTGAGCATAGGCTTAAGGATTTGGTTGTTCGCACTGAAACCAACAAGCTTGTGACAGATCTTGTGGATTTCGACCGTGTTCAGTCATTGTTGCTTATGATTTCGTTCCGACGACGGTATTTGCGGCAGAGGGAACAGATGCGGATTGCACAAATAGAAGAACAAGGTGGGTAAACCATTACTCCCCCCAGAGTTAGAATGGCTTCCTGAGCCCTACAACGCTCCAGATATCCCAGCGATCATCGTTAGCGACATTATGATAACGCCACCCAAGATCTCGCGCGATATCACCTCACCGGGACATAACACCACCCCACGGCTTGCGGACCCTGGCTCGCCGGCGCTGTCCAACAACGATCTTTCTCCTGACCTAACACTCACACCAGACTCGCCAACCCCGTCAAACCTGCACCGGGGTAGGCGGATCAGTGACATCAGCATGTTGTCTCTCGATCCAAGCAGGAGCGGGTGGTAAATGATCTTCACATCTTTTCTAGAGTAGTTGTTGATAGGTCATTCATGCAGGTCTGAGGGCGCTTCGCGGGACTCACGGCTGACTGTGGACGAGCCCGATCACATACTGGCTTCCGTGCAGGACTCCGTGTGGAATGGCAAGTGATCCCTTTCCGTCGCTGGACCAATACTGATGTCTCCATCACAGAATTAATGCTCCAGGCGGAGGAAGAGGACTGTTGAACTTTGACACAAACTAGGCATGTAATGTACATTCACCTGCATAACTTATTAATTACAGTATATATCTGGAATCCTTATGTGCTGTCGCTGCGCTAGGGATTATGGCTGGAAACAGATAACAATCACAATGAACGGCCTTCGTGGCAAGAGTCCCTAAGCGCCCTTCCTCACTAGCTGCAGTTGTTTGGTGCAAGTCAAGACGCGGGGTTGAGGTGTGACAACGGCTATCCGCAAGCATTTGGATGCCTCGGGTTTTCGCCCTAGCGTTTGGAGATGAATGCTTCAATTCACTTCCTGAGGTCCTCGTATGGCTGTGAGATGTGTGGGGGCTCGAGTCTCCCGGGGTCGGCCAAAGGATTCTTAGAGGTGATTTTTGGCCCCCCCCCACTCAGCCTGCTCCTTGAATCTTTGACGAAGGGTACCTCATACAGTATATACAGCGCCAATTCTTCACGCTTAGAGTATCTGATACCTCTTCGGACAGAGCTGATCCTTGAGACAGTGCGGAAGACTCGTAGCGGCCTTGGGGTTTGACTACGCCGATTAATGTCATACAGCGTCCACGTACGTGAATATGGTCTGAATGCTATGCGTTTAAATACGAAAAGACTTCAAAAGTGAAGGTGGGAATATACGATGAGCTAGCTATGTTGGGCCGGGGCGTGAAATCGTGGAGCTTGTAGTCGCAACGGTAATATCCCACAAAAGTAACGGGTGATAGCGACTGTCTTCTGATAATCTTCCGATAACGCAACTTCGGGATGTGCTTCTGAGAGAGTAGATGCGAAGGTATGGCGCTGAGAATGCCACTGAATCTATCAGCCTTGTGTGACCTACGGCTGAAGTCAGAGCGCATCATGGAAAGGCCAGGCAGTGCAAACATAATGATCATTGTACATAGTGTAGACAGTTCTACTTAGTTAACTTGCTTGAGCATCGACACGGACTCGTGAGGTTTCAAACATGATCTTACATCAGTTCACCACCTATAGCGTACTCGTTTACGTGTAGTTCATCGTCCACAACTGTTTTCGAGACGTACTACCAGGAAGATGATCGAGTACATATTTCCTATCATCACCAGTTAGTTGACTAATTATCGCACTCTCCCCAATAAGATCTAGAGACGCTACTCCCTATACAAAAACACGTTCACAAGACTGTTGGTGAGTGAGTGATATGAAGTACATTCTGTCCGCTGCATCAACAGAATTTGTACACTCTGTACACCATATCTTCTCCGTCAACATGATGCACGAATGTCAAATGCTGTCTGGTCATGACTTTGACAATATAATGAATTGTCTAGCGATAATGGCAAATACATCGCATGGACATGAAATTGCGTCACATAACAATCCACGCACCACAGATTGACGACACAGCTTATTCTCTGCCGTTGATACGAGAAAAGCATAATCATGGCATTGAGCAAACGAAAACACATCATCATAATATCACAAGTCACATAACGCAGCTTAGACTCGACCTCTACCCCTCGGAGCCCGATACACACCTTTCTTTTCGACAGTATGGAAGCCATCATCATCCTTATTTACGGGTTCCGGAGCCCTTGCTGGAGGCGCAGGTGAGGCAGGACGCCCTGCTCCCGCTTCTTTTGCAGCCTCTCTTGCCCGCCACCCGCTACCTGCGACGGCACCAGGACGGTATTTGGGTGCAGGACTTTCTGATCGGGGCAGAGGAGCTGGAGCAGCACGAGGAGACGGGGCGACCGGAGGCGCTCCAGGTCTTCTCCATGTATCTCCGCTAAGTGTTGAGCGTATCGGCGGAGCTGGAGCTTGAACTTGAGGTCGCATACGCTCGCGCTCGCGCTCAGCAGCACGAGCGGCCTGTTTGGCGAGGGCTTCTTCTTCTCGCTGTTGTTGCAAGCGCGCCTTCTCCAGTAGAGCAGCGCGTTCCTCCTCTCGTTGCCTGCGCGCGCTTGCGCGAGCCTCTTCCTCTTCCCGTTTCTTAGCCTCAATGCGAGCTTGCTCTTCAGCTTCCTCCCTTTCAAGCCGTTCCTCCTCCAATCTGCGCTCTATTTAACTTGAGTGTCAGCACAGAATTAAAATGATTTGAGGACCACACTTGGGCTTACCTTCTTCTATTCTCAGTAGCTCTTCTTCCTTCTCCCTCCTGATTCGCTCCTCCTCCTCTATGCGCAATCTCTCCTCCTCGCGCGCCTTGAGGAAGGTAGCTCGCCTCTTGGCCTTCTCGTCATCAATCTTATTCTGTGCAATCTCCTTCCTTTTAGCGAACTCAGCGCCTCGCTTGCCGACGATGACCTCTCTCTGAGCAAGATAGTCGCCCATAATGCGAGAAAGTCGCTTCTTCGTCTCGACGTCTTGTTGGTGTGAGAGGCGGTGGGACTCTAACCGAGATTTCTGAGCGGCTTGGAACACAGCCTTGTCGTCCACCTGCTGAATTTCATAATCCTTCGCAAGCAATGGCCGTTCCTCCTTACGATAGGCACGTTCGATGTGATCCAGACGTTTAGCAGCAATCCGCATACGCTCAGTGAGCTCTTTCTTCTCCTTCTCTAGCTGCTCTACTTGAAGTCGCATAAGGTTGTCGGTGCTGAGATTCTCCATGTCCTACGCAGAGCGTGATAACGTTAGTAGACCCAACATGGCAAACCAATCGAGACACACGTTAATATCAACTTTCAAACTTCCCCTCTCCTTCAGACTCTGCGCAAGCTTCCTTGCTTCTTCATTCCTGATGCTTTCGATTTCGCGCTCTCTCCTCTCAATCTCCTTCCTACGGACCTCCTCAAGTACCCTGCGGCTTTCTTCCTCTACCTGGCGGCGATTGAGTTCAGCACGACGGCTCGCCTCTTCCCTCTCCTTCCTGACAGACAGTTCGGACAGCAGCTCGCGGCGACGAGCAACGAGGGCTCGTCGAAGCTGCAGCGCTTTGCGCTCGGCCTCCGCCGCTGTCACCAGAGCCGCAAACTTTGTTTCTCGCTCCTCTTCGGAGAGCGGAGTCGGAGGATAGAGGGTTGCGAGGGAATTGTGGAGGCATGATGCGAGTCTACTCAAGCGCGTACGGACGAACTCAGATGTCGATGGCTGTATCGCGCCCGCACTTGCCATGGAGGTGGAGGAGCTTGGGTCGTCGATCGACGCGAATGGGCTGTCTACGAAGGTCATGCTGCCCTCAGCATGGTCGACGCGAATGTTCAGCTCGCCGCGCCGCGCACAGCCCATCACATATGCCTCGACTTGCTCTTCGTCATAAGCGCTGGCACCCTCCATCTCCAGATCCCGGATCGGCGAGACAAGCTCTAAAAGATTGCTTATCTTGATGGAGGAGTATACCTGAGATAACTGAGAGAGAAGACGAGAGAGAAGTGCCCGCTGGAGCAAGGGAATATAAGACGTATAAGAAGGATCCGCCGCCAATGACTTTAAAAGCGGTGCAATAGATGAACAGAGCGTCAACGGATCGAATGTGACCTCGAGAATGTTGTACAGAGACTTGATACTTTCGGGCGAAAGCTTCAGTACATTACGGGAAAGCTGATTACCAAGAATTAGCGATCATCAAACTCGATTACAAGCGAACAAACTGACAGCATCGCGCAACAGGCTCGAGCGGGTGGGTGTCTTGGATAGTCCCAGCAACGCAGAGAGTCTCGAGTTCTTGCCCTTGCTTTCGTCTGCAGCAATGCTCTCCTCGCCTTGTAAACCAACTGGCACAGCCAGCGCACTCACGAGTACCTGGCCTGCCAGACGGCTCATCTCTTCGTCAGACTTTCCACCGATGGCAATTACGATGGCATAATATCGTCCCCAGGCGGCGGCGTGATATAGCGCATTGCCGCTCATCAAGAAAATCCGTGTCAGCTTCTCATAGTAGTTGGCCATCATTGCTGGACGAGGTGACTTTTTGGCCATTGTGAGAAGATTATGTACATCTTCAACCGAGCGGAACGCCTCCTGCCAGAGCTCAAGTTCAACGGACGTGTTCAACTGTGCGAAGCGCGTATCAAGATGGTGTTGCAAGGTATCTGCATCGGAAAGGTTGATTGAGTGCGCTTGATGCGAGTATTTGGCGACGTTCGACAAATGAAGGCGGAGAGTTTCGCACAGACGCCGGAATTCCACTTTGCGCTCGTGTTTCAGGCAGAAGCGGAATGCTTGTTGTGCGATTTGCTGCAATCCATTCAGTCAGAATCAAATGCATGCGCACGCGATACCTGGCTGCCACATACCTGATAAATTCCCTCTAAGCGAGCATTATTCTTCAGCGTCTCGAGGGCCGTGCGGTAGCTCTCCCACAGGAACTTAAGCCATGGCGTGACCAACGCTCTGTCGGTCCTATCCTTGTTTTGATCCCCACTCACTGCTCCCAACAAAATGCTCTCTGGAGTCTCGCTGGCCTCAAGATCATCGACGTCCGTCAATGCAACTGCCTTGTCGGCCTTCTCCTGGGCCTCCTGCACCTTAGCATCGGAAAGCTGAATAAATCGGTTGATAACGACCTCTATTGAGGCTACGCTGCTATTTTGCGCGATGTTTTTGTATTGCATCAGACCCTCCTTTGCGGTGCGGCCTTTGCGCATATCAACACAAAGTTCGATGAAGCGCAGCACGATGGGCTCCAAAGATGCGAGGGGAGTTGAGCGGAATCGTTTTGAAGTGAACATCTCCGTCAGCGACTGAAGAGCGGCGTGATTCTGGCCGACTGATATGAGGCCTTCTGCCTGCTTGAGGACTGCCTCGGGTTTCGAGTACGGGGCCATGTTGTTTCTGAGACCGTTGTTACTTTTATTTCAGATCGCAGCAAAAATTTCATACCTATAGACTCTACAGCAAGGCTAGTTGTACAGGACCTTAAGAATCGTGAGAGGTCGTGAAATCTCTCCTCCGGATGATTTTATGGCACGCGTTCTGAACGGCGGAGGATGAGAGGCGATGAGGGAGCCAACGCCCGAGCCAGAATTTGCGATGATTCAGACGGCTGGGACGGAGATAGACCTATCAGCTACATCCATATATAGTATGTATTGCTTTCTATATTTAGCATCAGACTAATCAGCCACAGATCACTGGCTAAGTGTCTGGGAGCCCACGTAAACTCTCAGATCTCCCAGTGGAAGATTACTGTACATTTTTAATCGAGAAACTGGGACACTGAATGTGTTGCATTGAAAATGTGCGAAGAAAGCTGAATTATATATTTCATGTGAATTTAGCATATCTCATTTTTTCTCATTGAATGACACAGTTTCTGATTTTAATTCATGTCGCTTTCCACTGGGCCTCATATAGTGAATATCAAAAGCAACTGTCATGTAGTGGACACTCGGATGATGTTGGGCGGCAATAGTGAAATATACAACACTAAATATTACATGAATTTAATTAAGTTTCGCTGCCCTGAGGCAGCGCATCTCGTCTCTGAGCTTTGGCATACACAGTTGTTATTGACGAGAGTGGGACGCTTTGCGCCGATAGTACATGCTGAGTTCTGCAGACTGGCGCCACACGAACTGACGCACAGCAGCGAGCGTCATGTCCAATGGAAGAACCACATCATTGCAGACAATTTCGTACAGATCCTCAGCCCGTGGTCGGACTTCGGGTTCACGACCTCTTCCTGCAGATGACATTGAGCGAGAGTCGAAGGATGAGCGGGGTGTATTGGGAGATGTGGGCCCACGAGACCCGGTGAGTTTATCAAGCTTGTCTTGTACCTGAACAAACGTGTCAGAATTCGAGATGTCAGAGAGAATAGAACTGCGCACATGTATCGTGAGCTTGCGAACTCGCAAAAATCGACTGGCAGTCAATTTAGACTGCGCACTAGATGAGAGCCTGAGTCAGTCAAGCATACAAATAAATCAGACCTTTTACGCACGTATTAAGCAACTCCGGGAGTTGCTCGCCATGAGAGTCTCTACTTGGGTAAGGGAGAAGGACAAAGCTGATCTTGGTAACGGGTACCGGAGGTACGCGATTAGCTAATAAATATTCCAGCAGCCAGTATGGGAGTAGCTCCTCTAGGATGCGCATGTCACCTCCAGTATTAGCAACTTGCCCTCTATACAGCGTGGTCCAGCCCGAAGCAGCCTCTTCTGAAATGACCAGGGATGTATGTGGGGGTATCTGTAATGCGGGTGCATCCGTTGTTGAAGGTGGATTTATAGGACCATTGAGCAGTGCCTGAGCTGGAGATTTGGTACCGACGTGTGCAGAAAGATCCTAAAAAGCCGGACTTAATTTCAAACCTCAACGTCACACTAGGATGTGGCTTACCCCCGGAGTAGCCATAGTGTCCCCTCCTGCCAACGTGCCCCCAGTAGGAGTCGTTCCAGGCTCGCTTGCTTGACGTTTTGTGCCCTTGCCAAACGCTTTTATACGACCCATGAGACCACCTGCAGTCGGTGTACCTGGGGTCTGCAAGGCGGGATCTTTGCCACCCCACTCGTCTGACGTACCACCTGTAGATACAGATCCACGACGAGCCCGTGATGTAAAGTAGTCGGATGTTTGTGACGGGGAACTAGTTGTCGACGTGTCGATCGCCAACGTGCGCGGAATACTCTGTGAAATTGGAGCACTGTCTACAGGCGACTGCGGAATCGGCGAAAGTGCGGACTCTCGAATACCAGTACCGCGATGAACTTGTGGAGTCAGCAAGGGGACGGGTGTACGCGGCATTGGAGAGGTGGATGGGGACACAGCAGGAACTATGTTCGGAGAATATATCAGGTTAGTACTGCGGGGACTACGTGTTGCTGGCGAATGGGCAGGATCTACAGATGGTCGAACCAAATCAGGAGGATGTCCATTCAGGTCAATATGATTGGGAGCGCCGCCTCGATGCATACGATGAACGATTTCAGCTTCGCGCGTACGGCGAGCCAAAGCACGTTGCTCCTCGCGGATGAATCCACTGAAGAGATTGCGAAGTACCCATTTTCCAATATTCACTGTATCATAAAATGGAGCGAATAAATTAGCCCTCTACAGAATAATCAAATGAGCAACTCACATCGAGTTTCGTCCCCATAACGTCGTTCAGCTGAATAACCTGCCTCATCCGCATAGATTTCTGCTTCGAAGCATCTCTCACTGAGATGAACAGTGAGCACGCCAGTCTTCGTGTCCACAGTCGCCCATGGCTGAACCACTGCTTCGCCTTCAATCCTCTCGCGAACGGCCTCGAGCGCTTCTCTTGGACTTCTTTCCTTCCTCGACCTGGCCGACTCGCCGTCCAGGATGACGCTAGCCTCGCTTCCACGGGAGCTGGCGGCGGCAACGTCCTCGCTCATGAAGCGCCCGCGGCACACGCCACGAACAACATCCCAGACGGCTACTTCCCCGGCGGTGTCCACGGTAAGCGCATGAATGCGGTCGTTGAGCATCGCACTACGCACGAGTCCGTGCTCTCCCTGCACGATCTCGTCTGGCTCGTGTCTGAGCGGTACAGCGTCTGCTGCGACCTCGCGCTCCTCGAACGCAGCTCGCGCTCGCGTCCCAGGATGTAGCGTCTGCGTCTCCTCCGCCATACGCACATGGGAGTGTCCGTCATCCATCCCTGCTCGAAACGGGCTGGGGCTCCGCGGGCCTTGCGCAGCGATGGGACCACCCAACATAGACTGCACTGGGCGCACCAGCCGTGGTATGCTCATAACTGATGCAGCAGAATACAGCGTAGCAATCTCTGGGTCGTGTCCCCGGAACATCGAGCCATGCCCGCCAAACCCAGAAAATGACTCGTTGGGCGATGTGAGCCGAACGAGGCTCTCGAACGGAATGCCATACCATGTTTCATTCCCTTCAGCGTCGGTGAATGGATCACACTCTGGCTGAGCATGCGAAATCGAGGAATGAAGCGATGGAGATAGTGATTCTCGGTGGGTCTTGATTCGCGGAGGACTTCCGGCTCTGAGACTGATATGGACAGAACTAGAACGAGTAGGGGTGCTTGTAAAGTCTGCAGAGCTTCCTATGACAGGTCGTTGGGTGTTGGCCTCGCCACTGCCGTCCCCGAGTGGAGGTGTCGCTATCTCGCATTCGCTAGATGGTGCAGTGTCCTTGACTGATGTGGCCGCTCGCACCGAACGCCGGACTGGAACTTTCCAGCGTTTGAAACTTGAACTTCCCGATGCAGTCCAAATTACACTGTCGTCCATGGCCACCATCCGATTCACGCCTTCCGCGGCACTTGAGCCGTTCCCGCGTTCACTCGTATCCTGGCAGAGGACGATACATTCACCTTCAGATACGTCCGCGCAGCCTTCCACGTCCACCTTGCACACAAAACCTGAGCGGTCGCCAGAGAAGAAGTTCTCTAACGTAGGATGCTGAGAGAACAGGGACCAAACAGAGTCCGTGTGGTGTGTGAACGTATGCAGACATCTCTGTGAGTACAGCGACCAAAGCTTGATAGAAGCTTTACGAATGAATCAGTATGAGTATACCGAACGTTTTATTGACTCACCGTCGGCCGAGCCTGTAAGCAACTACAGTTTGTCAGACACAGATAGAATACATTCGCATCCAGTCACTCACATATCTCGCGTCTTCCGAAAGCAGCATCGCACGTATATTGTCCGTATGGCCAACCAGCTTGCCTATTCTTTTGTTAGAACGTGGATCCCATAATCTGACAACCCGCTCTGGGGAGCCGGATGCGATCATTGTCCCACATGAGTCCATTGCCAACGCATATATCGAGCCCTTTGGACCTGATGCTTCGGGCGCTGTAAGTGTTGCAACTGGTGTATTTGATGACGCTGCTCCAAGATCCCACAGCTTGATGGTACGGTCAAATGACCCAGACGCGACCCAATGTCGATCTCGGCTGCCACTTTGTTAGCTATACAGCCACTTTGAGGATGACAAGGACATACCTGTGAGCCAGACAGCGCACATAATCGCCATGCGTTCCAATGGTGACTGGGTCCTGCAGAGGAACAGTATTCTCATGCGCATGAGGGTTCCATGCGCGAACAGTACCATCAGAGGACGCTGTAATGACTGTACACGGAGTAAGCATTTGAGCGGTGCGCGTACGCGAATCGACGCGAATCGAACGCACGAGTCTGGTTCTGATTGCAAAGGAGAATGTCATTTACCCAGTCAGAATGCATCTGTGCGCATTGCCGAAATTGAGTTGAAGGGGGCGTCGTCTGTACACAATGTAAGCGTCGTCGCTCGGTAGCTTTGCAAGTGCCTCGCTCTCAAGCGAACGTAATGGCTCTCGGAAGGACACACCTTGCGGGCCTCCAGCGTTTCAACATCGGTCTCCCACTGCTCTTCCTCAGGTATAGCACTCTGCACACCAACCACCTTCCTCTTGTGTCGCCCGGTGACCTCTCCAAGAACATCACCGTCACTGCGCAAGTCCTCTCCATCATCCGTTTCCTCCTCTATAACATCATCTGCCCAGTTCGTCATGATCTCCCACCCGCGCGTGCTCACACTTCGACTATCCTCCGTGACACCATAGCGATGCGCGCGTCGTTTCATTGGAATGCCGAGGTCCCACGAAATGACGAGGCCATCGCGTCCACCCGTGTAGAGGATTCCCTCCGGAGAAGAGCGGCCTACGAGTTGGGTAGAGGTATCGAGCGCGAGCGACGCGACGCCGAGTCTGTGGCGAGAATGGGCCGGGACACGAGGGGCGACAATGCTGTGATCGGGAAACGGTGGGTGTTGGAAGGGGATTAGAAGGGGCCCTACGGCGCCATTTCGTGACACACCATGGGGTGGAAGCTGCAAACGAGGTGTAGACTCGGATGGAGGGGGGATCACGTAAGAAATCCTGCGGCGTCCTGGGGCCATTACTAGAACCACAGACCGTCGAGTTGGGCGTAGCTACGCTCGGAAGCGCATCCAACGCTCTTCGGAAGTCTACGGCGTCAGTCAGTCAGTCAGTCGCCCAGGCACTTCCAGAACATAGATTAGATGACCCATGCACCCGAAACCTACCCCTTATCTTCAGCGTCTGAATAGTACGACTATGAACGGTCACTAAGTACGTAGTATACCTATAGAGTGGAAAGATAATGTACCTCAGTTGCAAAGGATACAACGACTCCTGAAGTAAAAGGAACGCAGGGAAACGGCGACTCGTTCGAAGACAACTTAAATTTGGGCCCTAACCCAAGTGCAGCACTAACTCTTAAGCAAATTGATTTAACAGCTATCAAAGGAGATGCTTACCTCTCCGATTGGTTTATTGTGAAAGAACATCTTACGTATACCTTTGCAGGCGCTGCGTCAATATTCTGTCCTGTCGCCTGTCTGCCTGTGATCGAGGCTTGTTTGTATAGTCTCACGCTCACGCGTATGTTGAGGTCATTAATATCGTTTGAAGACCATACATACATCAAACGGTGCTAGCACGTCTCGCACAGAATGGCAGAATGTTGTAGCTGAGGCTTCTCGTTCAGAAGAATACAAGTACTTGGCGAAAACTCTTCGTAGTCATTAGAGACATACCGTGCAAAATCGATTTGCCCCTGTGCTCAGAGCACGTAGCTATAGATTACAGATGATCAGCACACTGCGTAGAAGAACTATCGTAAAAGACATGCCGATGGTAGGAATTTTCGAATTCGGTAAGATCGTGCATACCAGCCTCTGAGAAAATGGTTAATCCAGAAAAGTAAGTAAAAACATCCATTACAGCCTACCCTCGCCCTTCAGTTCGTCTTCGTAGGTCTCAACCTTGCCGTACATGCGGTCTTTCTGCAGAACCATTCAACACCGGCGTATGACTCACAAATGCGCATTTACCTTAACGTTACTGCGCCACATGTATAGACCAAGCAGGAGAAGGGCGGCTACGAAAAAGAATGAGAACCAGACAGTATCGTGCTACTCCGGAAGACGTTACCTGTCTTTATGCAATATCCTGCAGAGCAATCAGCGATCGTCATCATCACGGTTGTGATCTGACGTACCTACGAACATTGCTCTAGTACCGGTGTGGTAGGTAGGTGCCTCGCTCGCCTACAAGACGCAAGTTCAACTACAGCCCATATGCCAATTCAATAAAACAGACTAACGATGAGGAAGTGAGGTCCTATGATATTCCCAATACAGTACTGTTCAGAGGGATCAGCGTACCACCGAGCTTCCGTTCATAAAAGGACCAACCCCGATGAAAGTTAGAGCTGTAATGAATGTCTTTTTGGTGAATCCGCCGACCTAAAAATCTATGATTGACGCAATGTATCATCGGACAGAAATGTACTCACGTTGTTCGAAATCATAACCAGCGACAAGGAGAACCCTACAGACTACTAAATCGTGAGCCAAGTCCCTATATATAAGCTCATAGCTCGCATACCTGGAAGTTAGTAAACCAGTACGCTATGAGCCGGTTCCACTTTTGATCCGCTGGGAGATATGTCAGACAGGCAGCCGATATGATACAAGTGATATTTCCAGCGGCCATAGTGATAACGCGAGCTGTACAACAAAGAGTGAGTTCATGACAGACAAAGGCCATGAAATTGTTTTACTATTCTTAACATATGTAGTAATCACGCTGAGCAAGAAGCTCAGCCAAATTGTAAAGCAATATGAGACGAAAACTTACCCTGCTGCAATCAGACTAGCAATCTGAACACCTGAGGCAGCAGCATCCAGTAAGGTGGTTTGTAATGTTGTAAAACCCATTCCCTACAATCTAGTATTCAGCCATCAATGCCATCACCGCAGATAACGATTGAATTCACCTCAATCACGATCGACGAGAAGTTTGACACAATACTGTAGACGAAGATGGCGTTGGGAGCCTTTCAATCAGGTAATTTGGATTGGGACTGACCCGTTCGGAATCTGCGCTGAAATAGAGGCTATGAAAAGAAGCCATGTCTTGGGGTCTACCAGCGCCTCCTTGATCTTGGAAAAACATCCTACCCGTTAGTATCTGTGTGATCCACGTCTTTTCAAAACGTTCACCTGGTATGCCTTGAATTCGGTATTCTTGATACCAGTCTTGGCTTCTGCCACGCGTTTTACAGCCAAGACTTTGTCCTCGTCTTTCAAGAATCGTGCTCCAACGGGGGAATCAGGAAAGAGAATCCAGAGCATCAGAGCATCTATGAAGGTGTTATTACACGAGACGCCGACGATTTGGATATTCCCCACATGCAAAGCTGATAGCGCCAAGTATTAGGAAGATATACTTCCATCGAGCAATGGAAGGGTTCTCGATCTTCCCAATCTGAGGTTCACGATGTGGTAAATATGCTTCGTTACAAGATGATCACGGTTGAGATGAATTTTGAACCAGCCTACCCCATACGCAAGAAAGCCGCCAAAAATTCCAGCCCACCCGTTGAACGAATACCAAATCATAGTACGCAGCGGCACTTCAGCCTGTGCATACCAAATGGCAGTTAAGAGCGTGAGCCCGGGTGTGACGATAGATTCAATGATGCCGAGGAAGAAGCTATGATATGTATCCATTAGTCTCTTCACCGTGACACCCATGGAAAAGACAGATAAAGGCAACTAACTATGCTGCTAAAATACCGCCAAAGTTGTGTGCGGCAGGAATACTATCGTGTGTCAGATATTAACAAATGCACGCATATAAGGTCAAATACCATAGGACGATGATGCCCCAGAGGGCGGTTGCTAGACACCAGATGATGTATCAGCGTTAATCACCTATGGAACAATGAATGCGTACTGGTAGCGAGAACGCGACCGGCATGATAGTGTTGCAGAAGCCAGCCTTGCGGATAGTTTCCGATTAAATATCCAAAGCTGAGGAAGAGAAGAGTGAAGTGAAGTAACAAGCCACGGCATGGTATGGCGCCCACTTACTAGAAAGCTACACAATCCGGATTGATCATCTCACTTCAGCTCACCTGAACTAGTGACTCACCACTGGCAAACCAGTCAAATTGTTGACCGGTCACATCAAGATCCGTTCGCATGCCATAAAGATTACCATAATTAAGCCTGCCGAGTCTGTCAGCTAACAATTGTATTCTGGTCATATTACATGTACATACGCGGTCTTGTCCACTAGATACAGATGGGTGATCGATGAGCGCAAAGATAGCTAAGTGAAAGCATGCATGGACGTACGGTAGCTGAGTCCCTGCGAAATACAGAGCTTCCGAGTACATGAGGATCTGCGATAAGCTGCACGGTACTTGACGTACCATGGGAAGAATCCAGCGATCAATCTTCAAAGCAATCCTACAAACCGCACGTTGGTCCTGGCCTTCTGGATCATAGAGTAACCCTGCGTACCGTGTGTTGTCTTTACTACTAACACGGACACCAGCGTCTTTCGCAGCCTCGAACTCATTAAGACCGATATTTCCCTCTTCCTTGAGGACAGGAAGCGTGTCCACCGCGACCTTCTCCCCATCCTTCTCCTTGAGGGAAGAAACGGACGCCAGCGAATTGTCTTTGTACATGGAGTTAGACATGGTCAAATCGAGGGACTTCCGAAGGATCGATACAAGTGATGGATGATCGCCAACGCCATTCGAACAGTCAATGGCGCCTTAAGTACCTTGTGAAGTTGTAGTATCTCGGCACTCATATCTCGAGCCGACTGGCGTTGCAAGAGGCAAGCATCAGGCACGCCACACGGCCCTCCGATAACTCATGTCATTATCGCAGTGTAGTTCTTGGGGCCAGGAGATAAGTATGGACAATGGTGGACCGTACCGCAGCCGTACTAACCGTATCTAGATTCAGTGACTCGGTACAGATAAGACGTTCAAGACTCCTCGGTACCTGGCAATATCGTGCTGCGTAGTTTCAACAGACCAGACATGCACGAGATTCAACCCCTCTGAGTCTTGCACGATCCTTTCAGAGTAGTGTGCGTGTGACGATCTTCGACAAACGCTGGGAAGGCTACATCAGCGAGGGATAAGCTACGCACATACTTTAAGAGATAGCGAGTTTGAGGTGAAGATTGCGATGCATCACAGGCTGCAACAAGCGCGAAAGATCGCGTTTATTGAAATTGTCGATTACGGTATGGAAAATTAAAAACAGCTTCCAGACCACAATACCGACGAAGACTATGTAGAGAAAATTTAATGTCGTTGGAAAGTCCTCGGCATGATAGATAGATCTTTTGGCGAGGAACTAGCAGCAGAACAACAACTTGAATCGCTGCATTACCGCTAACGCGAATGGGTGCGGATGAATAGGCTAACCTAACGCATGATACATCGCGCGCTGCGCGCCATTACGTGAGCGCTAACACTGATAATGCTGGCGCAAACGTCGCAGCTTGAAGTTTGTTTGGATTTGACTACTTCATAAGAGTAACACAATTTCTATGACGATAAATTCTTCCTTATGCACTTTTTCAAGCGGCTCGAATGAAGACAGTATGGAAACCTACCTTTGAAGCAGATCTCGTAAGGGCATTTTGAATCGTATTTGCGCATCCTGATTCCTCAGTGAGCTGTAAATCACCATGTTCATTCACCTATTGTTGCTCGAACACTAGTTTTATTTAATTACTTCGACTCAACGGGTGCGCAGCACTCTTACAAGTGTAATGGCGATGTGGTATTGAGTGTTTTGTATCCAAGTGGTCGCGGTGTGTTGCATCCCAACCCCGCAAACCCGGGAATGAGAGGTAGGTACATAGTCCACATCGTACTCGTGTGCATGGATGACGTTCGTTATTTTGATGTTCCAGCCTTTCATCAAAGATCACTTAGTGCTTTTCTCTGAGAGTACTGAGCCGCACTGCAGATTAGTATTCTGATGAATCTAAGGCTGTACGTTGGTCGTGTATTACAGATTCTCTCAAGACTCTCTAGCCTGGCTCTGGTCAATGCTGAAGCTCTCATCGTTTGCTGCTGCTGACCCCATTAGATCAGTTTGTCTTTTCAGTAATGGAACTGGCATGAAATGATTCCATTCGCATCTTCTCGCTGTGCTTTTCAAAAAGGCAGCTCACGATTTCCCTGACATCGATTCAGATCCTTAGTCACTTGGAAGATGTTACATGAATTCCACTGCTGCGCCAGCGCCGCCGTCGGTATTCTTCGGGACCGAGTGCAAACTCAGCAGACAACAACTGCGGCGCTTCATCGCGCCAGCTGTCCCGCCGCCAAGCGCATTCTGGGAAGCTGCGAATTGAATGAGCACTGGTGCGTCCATAATGTGATTCGCCATACGATTCGCACCTGTTCGGCTTCGCGCAGCAAATGCAAGCTGCATTGTATTCAGTTGGGGCGTCTGATGGGGTAATTCCTTCCTGTTACCCGATGCCAGTACAGCGTCCGCGCTCCGCTCTACGATCGGCAGATCTGGTCATAAGGCAAACACGCCCTACCTTCTGCCCTTCTGCATTCCCTGGTCGATATTGGTCTTCAACCCGTAGCTTATGCCCTGCGTCCCTGAGTGAGGCGACATAATGTCACGAGAAAGCATTGGCCAGTCCATTTCCAGCTTTCGGTCTATGTGAGTTCCTCCATAAGCTCAAGCTCTCTACGAGAATTTCATCACAATCGACTTGGCATGCTGACATGCTCATTCAGAGAAATCGAAGAATGCTGTAACCTCGCCATCACAAGTGCGTAAGATCTCGACAATCGTGCATATTCTGGGGGTTCATATGGTCTTCTTCTGATCATAGTACTTGTCTTCTATGACTACCTACTCACGTTCCCCCAAGAAGTGCGATATGTATGGAGGAGCAGGTTGTCCACTGCCACCGTCATATTTTACCTGAACCGATACATAATTGTCGCAATGACAATCATGACCGTCATGGGGTTCTCTCCCGGGTTGACATTCGCTGTAAGTGACATTTGAAATTTGCTGGTCAGATGATTCACGTGGAAGCATCGCAGGGGTACTTCATCTACGTTCAATCGTGATGGTTCAGACTGATAAGGTGCCTCGATGACAGCTGCAAGGCCCGCCAAATCGTCATTTCCATTCTGGAAGTTTTGTGGTTTGCCGTATGGGCAGGTCAGGCCCATTTGGTGTTTTATGTATATGAATTCAACTCGAATTTCATTCCACTTAGCATTCTCCTCGATTCGCGTGTATGCAATCAGCGGAGAGAATGTATGCCTTTCACTGCTGGCCCTGATTTTTGGCCTAGTACCGTGCGGAACCAGTCTCGTAAGGATACCTATCGTATTCATTGGTGTATCGATTTACGTACAGTTTTTGCTCCAGTATGTGGGTGCCCGAACGAGTTATTCAGTACTGCCAAGTGCACACGGTGCGACGTGCATGGGTATGCCGGAACTGGCCACCGACACCGGAAATATGTCCGTCCTCCTGCATACTTTTATTTAGTTGCTAACTCACATTCTCGCGCGTAGATGTATGAGTTATTTCATGCTGAATCTCAGTATTTTCATTTACAGATTGCTGATATTACTCATCCATAGTGATTGTCGTGGCACGGGTATGTCTCATAATCTCCGATCTCATCGTTGTCACTACAACATGGTATTACACCCGCAACGTTCGTTACACCACAACTCGCTTTCACTCAACGCGGCCTCTGGTGACCACTCTCCTCAGAAATGGTAAGCTCAAGATCCCATAGATTATTGTGATACAGTGCTAACCCCTTGCAGGAGCTCTATATTTCTTGTACGTACATCCTAGCGAAACAGGTGCTGATCCACTGAACGACGGCATCCTCTACTACGATCAGACTATTGTTGTCGATGAACGTTACCCTAATATCACTCTTCGTCACCAATGTGCGCATGTCTTCCTGCGCCATTCCCCACATCGTGCTTGACGCGTACCCCAGATTTTCTCTTGCACCGTGAATTTTGTTGTCAGGTATGCCTCATACCTTTCGCCAAATGCTGGCGCGACTTGCATTAACAGCGCCGCCATCCATTTCCCAGTGTCACAGCGCTCCTTGTCTCGCGATATATTCTCAATCTACGGCATGTCCATGCCCGAGCAACGCAGAAGCACAGCCTCAGGCCTACACACCTCTCCGCATCGCATGCTATGCCCCTATCCGCTTCGAACCGCTCTATGCTACCGATCCACGGGTATGGGGAACATTGGTCTGTCAACCGCCTCGAGCTATGCACAATCGAGACGGTGCCTGCCGTCGACGATGCTGTCAATGACTGGGAGCGCACTCGGACAACACCTCCCTCGCCGGCGTCAGAGTCGACGTACATAGGTTCGGTGGCGGACGATGATGGGGATGATGTCAGTGAGGTTTCAGAGGATGAGGAATTACAGCTGCCTTGGGCTGATGCTCGTGCTGCTCGATCTCCGTTCCGACTGGCCGTGGGACGTACTACCTCCCGCTGGCCGATCATGCGCAGCTTGCTATCCCCAAGGTCAGTATTAGCGTGCTAGTTATCGCTGTTTGCGTGCTAAACGTGTAAGGATAGGTAACGAACGAAAGGGAGGGTATTATCAATGCTACGTTCATTTTCCACTGTACACATGCAAGGCATACACTCGTTCGTTTCTAGTCTCACGTATAAGTAAGTTGACAACTTATGGGATGTAATGGCACAAATTTGAAGCTGCACAACAAAGTCCATTGTCGTAGTTTGGGTCTAAGACACGCCGATGTCCCTCATAGCTGGGAAACTCTGCCAGCAACGCTCTCAATCTTATTGTACATTCACAATTCTCCTCCAAGCTAATACATACGACTTGTTTATAGTCCGTAGCTACCTCGTGCTACACTGACGCAGGATCAGGCACTGACCTCGAGGCTCTTCACGTACTCCAGCCTGTAGGGGTTACTCTCTGTCTCAACACCGCGATTGTATGCGATCCACTTGGGCTCGTCCTAACAGACAAATAGGGGAATGAATGACAGGGTTAGAGATTGATGTTGGGACCAAACCATACCTTGAAGAGGCGGAGCGTGCGGGACTTGTTACCCATATCGAGACCGAAACGGTGGTAGATACCGGCAGGGAGGACAATCATGTCCCCAGCACTCAGGTGGAGGCGGACCCAAGAGTCGGTAGTGTGCTCTGCGAGTCAACGATCAGAGTTTGTCCTGAGTGGAGGGAATGCGTTCGGACAAACCTCGGACATCGAAGTAGCCACCGCCCTCGATGATGTAGCGGATCTCCTCGTCCTCGTGCATGTGCCTGTACGACGTCAGACACAGTCGGCGAGGGAAGTAGCGCACTCACTCGTGGTAGAACTTCTTCAGGTTCGCCTCGTAGGCGTCACCCATACCCTCCTTCGTAACGAGGCAGATATCGCGGTTACGGTAGCTGCGCTCATTGGCAATGACATTAACCTGTTCCTCCCACTGGCCCTCAGCGTCAGAGGGGATGTGCCAACGCAGGATGCCCAGCTTGTCGAGGGTCTCGTCAGAAACGGCGTTGCCAGAGTCGTGAGGGAGGCGCTGGTCGCCGGGGAGATCGTCCATGAAGTATGCGCGCATGATGTTGCCGTTCACTGGTGTGGGAGTGGGGTTTACGATATGTCGGCGAGCGAGAGACGAGGGGCTTTATGTACGCCGCTGTGGCTAGTAGCCCAGGTCATGAGGACCGACCACCGGAGGCAGATATGCTCCTTTGCGTGTGCCATCGGCCGCCGTCTCGCTGCTCCCATCCGTCATCTTCGCTGCGAGTTTATATGTAGCGGCCAGACTTAAGGGGCTAGCTGAGGAGAAGATTGGAGCCAGCTGTTGGCTTTCGCCCATCGCGCTGAAGCGGACGCGGCTCTCCTCGTTTTCCGTTTGCCACAGCAGGCCACAGCGCTCCCTGCATAAATACAACTTCCTCGCGGAGAAATCTTACGACACATACATTGTCTTTGTCACTAAACACAAGCAGCCGATCCCATGGCGAGAGGCTTCTGGGACGTTTTTAGTTCGCAGGAAGATAGCAGAGACTTCATAAGTGTATCTGCTCAAGCTCTGACGGGCCGTGCGAAGTCACGACTTGGACAGACTCGTGAATGATTCCGCTCATCATGTGAATCTAGAGGGGCGCGGTGTCGACCTGTGTCGACTGTCTTGAGTAGTGTCTCTAAGTAGGAAACTCAGTTACACCTTCTTGTCTGGACGGCTGGACCCTGAATATTGAACGCGCATATGACTGTTCGTTGTCTAGCGTTTCTAGTGTTTGCTCGTCTGCTGCTTACACCCAACTCATCGCTGGGGGTTGTGAATACCATTTGGTCTTGTGACTCACTTCCCGGGCACCAACATTCAACGAATTCCGGCGAACGGTTCTCCGTCGACGAACACATCGTGACCTCTCTACGTTCTGAACAAGCGGCGTGAAGATTACCGGTAGCCGAAGGGCCGGAGGTTCAAAGTTGACTGGGCCATCGACGTTTCTGCCATCTCGGCATTTGTTTCTTTAACCAATGAAGACACTGGTCTGTCAGGGGGCTGTGCCGGGGAAATGTAGTTGCGAGGTGCGTTGATTATACACAGCGACTTTTTGCAATGTTCTCATCTAATGGTAACGAGAATCTCGAGAGTCCAGAGTGTTTAGAAAGGCTGTTTTCGTCTTTGCGGTGATTTCTTTCCGCTGAGATGATCGTGAACTGGCACATCTGTGTCTTCGCAATAGAGAACAACCGCACAGTTAAAGTTCGGCATGAATTTCACCTCGACCGCAGGACCCTCTTAGTGACCTAGGAACGAAGAGTGAAGGTGGTCAATGCGTAAGTATTGAACTGTGCATCTGTGTGCCTGGCCTCAGTAGTACATCCGGATGAGTTCGCTAATAGTGCACTTTGATCAGCAGCTGAAGCTTGGTTTGCACCCACACCACGCAGGAGCTTGCCCAAATCTGATTGGTGGAGACTGATAATCATGGTGCTCCTTATCTCAACGGACAAAGTTCTATCTGCCAATGTGCCATGTTCTAGCCAAATCTCCTAGCGGTCTCAAGGGGCCCTACCTTTGCGCCCGGAATCACATCACAGGGGAATTTGCACAGCGCATATGTCCATTCATTCTCAAATTAAAGGCGTCCAGTGGAAGCTATGGATAAGAGAAATAGAGTTGAAGGGACTGTATTATAACCTGAACGAGGACATCTAGAGGCGCCGACATTACGCTTTGCCAGACGGAGGTGGGAGCTCGCAATAATTGCATCAAGGGACAGTCGCTGATATACTGCAATCGTAGACCCGCTCGTTGGCCTAAGAGTGATACCAGAGTGTTGTGTTCTTTGCAAATTAATGCCCCTCAGACCTGTTTGTTCCCCATATTTCTATGATTATCCGGAGTGAATCGTCGTCGGCACGGTCATCGGTGCTTGTACATCGAGTCCCAAAGCAGAGAGCTTGCCTTGGTATGTAATTTGCTGGAGTCTGATATCGAATATGATATGCCTCTTAATATTCCAGACAGCGCCCTCTCTTATGACTTCGTGCTGGGCGTTCTGTCTCTGCAGTGACAGTTCGGAGCCGAACTTTGTCTGCGTGGCAGAATCAGATCACTGGAGGATCAAGGGGCTACGTGAAACATGCTGGCTGTACAGTGTCACCACCGTCCGTAATCACCAACCGACGTGCCTGCATTACTTAGTTGACCAAGGTGAAGCAGGGTGAAGCAGGCGCTGTGAGTACGGCGCCATGGCGCGGTGACGACTCTGACGAGGCGACGGCGCGGCCCGATAAATGCAACCGTACACAGTGGTGCCTTGCAGCCGTCTTGCACGTTTGGAGTCGGCGACTAACCGCGTTTACATATTGCATCCCGCCTTCCGAGCGATCTTGGCTCGTTTCAAATATTCACCCAGTGCGCCTTGCTCCGGTAGCGTTACTGTCATCTACGTCTACCTGAGCCTCCTTGCAGTCGAAGGGCAGTACTCCAGCATGCGGCAGATCACTGCATAGCTTCGGATCGATAGCACTGGTCTGGTGCAGAGCGGGATCAACTTCAAGTTAGTGCCCTAGTCAGTGGAGCCAATCGGAGCATAGGAGCTTGTTTGGTCTTATGGCCGATCATAGATCACAGGGATCAAACGCTATGGTTGTGTCCGGCCATGGACTGTAGCAGGCCATCGCTCCTGCGGGACTAGCCGCCTATAGTCTCGTCAACATATGTTTCTGGCCCCGCTTTTCCTGCACTCTAGGTCACTCTTCCCCTACTGAAGCCGACATCTTGTTGCGGAGAACGCATCTGCGGTCATGCGATGTATTCAACAACTGCATTTGGTATCTCTGTGACCGCGCGAAGGCACCAAGTGCTACAACTCTCCGTTCCGCCGGTGTGAGCGAGGCAATGCTCCAGGTTTTGATGGCAGCCACTGACGCTTGCGATACCGCTAGCCAACAATAGCATACAGCGCCTCGCCTGCATCAGCCTGCATCGCTGGAGATCCGGTCATATAGTGGGGTCGTCGTGGCTTGTGAAGCCTTTCCACCCTCTCGCTTGGCACGGACGATTCGACGTCGTAGAAAAGCTGGAGCCATGTCCAACACCAGCGTTGCACAGGTGCTTTCCTTTCTGCAGCCTTTGTGAGTGCCACGGATGGTCATACGTTGATCGTAACACTCAGCACTTGCGTTATCAGGAAAGTCGAGGATTGCTGCATCCTTTCCATCACGAGTATGTACCCTTTTTTAGACCGTCGGGCTGAACTGAACTGCGTTTGTGGTTAACCATAGTCCTTGTTTTTTATGACCACTTACTTACTTTTGGACAAGAAGTACGATATGTCTGGAAGAGCAAGTTATCGTCCGCCACGATTATTTTCTATCTTAATCGTTATCTCATTCTTGCGATCGCTCTTGTTGATCTTATTGGATTCTATCCTTACAATAATGTTGTAGTAAGTAATTGTTATTATCCATTGTTCTACCGATGAGCTGACATTCAAATGTGGACAGAGGTACTGCTTCCCGCGCTTGTGCCCAAGCAAATGCTCATCTACTCCTTCACGACAGCTGCGAGGTCGTTGAATATTTATATACCATTCTTGAAGTCCTTTGGTATGCTGTTTGGGCATGTCAGGTTGTTCTCTTACGTTCTCAATCCAAATACTGATTAACGATGTTGTTCCAACAGCTTTCTCAGCCGTTCGTGTCTTTGCCATAAGCGGCCGTAGTTGGCCCCTAGCCTTACTAGCTCTAGCACCAGGTTTGGTCCCGTGTGGCACCTATATTGTACGTCATCCCACTCGCAAATTGTTTTGACATAAGTTAACGTATGTGTAGTATTCTGCCGTGAAGACTATATACAAACCTACACATGGCATGTTCGAAGACAGCGGTTGCATGGCCATTTCCACCATGTCAGATTCTATTAATGACAAGTACGCGTGTCGTTTTATGTTTTTTTTGTGCGTATTGTGAACCCACTCTCTTTTCAGACGTATGTAATACATGCACATATATGGTGGTCTTGCCTCAGCTTTGATATGTATAGTGGTGATCATCACTCGTGTGTGCCTGATTGCGTCCGATACCATCGTTATATTCTCAACATGGTACTTTACATGGAAAGTCCATCGGACGACAACGCAGCTGCATACGACCAGATCCGTCGTAACACTCCTCCTGCGAGACGGTGTGTATAGAGTCTTCTTACTATCTAAGTGGTTTACTCATTTTTCTAAACCCAGGAACTCTATACTTCCTGTATGTCATCTTCAGGCCCCACAATGGACTGCTGACAATGGTTTATTTACACTTTTCAGGCTGTTGCTTTCCATGAACGTGTTGCAAATAACCTTCTTCCTAACACAGGTGCGCTAATATAAACCCCCTAAGTCGAGATCGTTCTTCCTAATGCATGTCAACCTATTACTCATAGTTGTTCGATTGTACCTCAGAATACATAATCCGGTTGGTCTCGCATACTCTGCACTGAGCAGTGCGATACAGGCATACTAATATTTTTTCCCGTGTCCGCAGCATCACGGCACTGCTCGTCTCGCGATATATTCTCAACCTCCGACATGTACATTCACGCCACGGGGGAACACCCTCGCGCACGGCGTCTGGTGAAGGCACCGGGTATGAATCCGCGATCGTCTCCATGCCTAGTTCTGCACCAGGACACGCGTCAATCCTTTACGGGCGACAGCGGTCAGTGTACTCGAAACACCATTCATATCGAGGGGACACCGCACTGCGGGACATGAAGTGGCGGCACATGCACTCCACGCAGTCGCGGACGTCCGGGTACACATATACCCCCGGTGGATGGAACGATGTGCCGAAAGCGCCGTGGAAATATGACGAGATCGACTGGGAATTGGACGGTGACTACGACGAGTGGTGGTCTGAGTTGTCAGGGAACGAGGCAGCGACAGCGGTAGAGATGGACACAATGCGCGCGCCGTATCGTCCCGCCGTCGGGCTTCAAGTCGCGGTTGAAATCGAAGTTCAGAGGGACGTCGATTCGATCGTTGAGGAGCGGCCGCATGGGCTGGAGGAAGTAAAGCTGTCTAGGACTGTGGACGTTGGGTACGGCGAGCCATGACATAGGACGTGGGCGCTATGTCTGGCGACAATTGTCGGATGGCGACGCACTTGTATTTGTACTGCTGTGGATCTGCTCATTGTACTCTATGCATGCTGGACTCTCGTTCGAGCTACTATTATCATCCTAACACTCATTTAATATTTCTAATTGAATCGTTTGGACTCAGTGCGGTAATGCTAGTTGGTGTTGTAAGGTCATGAATGATGGAGCGACTATGGCAGCAAGGGAAATCCCGGGCTCAGAACTTCATACCATGAAGGCTTACATGTGATATGCCTGCCCCGTACCACCTTCCTTCCTTCATTGTGTAGCTTGCATGTCACTCGAGGTAGTCAGCGCAGCCAATAAGCGTTCAGCCAAGATGGCATGAACGGCTGAAGCTAGATGCAGTTCGTCCTGCCAAATCTCACCCTCTCCATTCACGTCGTCATCAGTGAACTCGTACTCGAGAGGGTTGTCAAGTACGTCCGTGAGCACTTTGTGCGAAGAGAAAACCAGCACGGTCGCTAGCGCACTCCCAGAGGCAAATTCGTCCGCTTGATCACGCAAGACGGCGTTCCACGTGTCGACGCACTCTTGCATGTCGTCGCAGCAGGCAGTGTCAATGGCTGTATGCAGATGAATTTTATGGGAGAACAGGAACGTGGCCATGGTACATACCACCGGGCGAGCGATCAATCGGCGGAATGTCGATGAATAGGAAGTTGCGCGCGCCAGCTTTGACGTAAAGTTTGTGGACCGCATCGAACATGCTCTCTACAATGGGCTGAAGTTCGTCGGATGAGGATCTTCCGCAGTCATTGATCCCGAGATAGAACACTTTGACAGTCAAGTAAGTCTGGAAAGCACATCCATCACGAAAATATTTGCACCATATAATGTCCCAGCCGCATCTAGTGCATTGTCGGAAGAACCGGGTCTTAGACGAGGAAAATTCACGAAGTAACGCGATATTTGGTCCGACAAATCCTCCTCGACAGTTGCGCCGCGAACTGCAAAATTGCGCACGGTGACACTGGAAGGAAGCTGCATCATTTGGCGCACTAGATGATGCGCCTGTATAATTCAGCCATGAGTTCGGTCATAGCATAATAAGCCGTGAGATTCGCCAGCAATTACCCATGTTTCATCCTCGCCTTTGTCTTCAGGGTCAGTACACATACTGTAGGAATCTCCACTGGAACAGCAAATAAATACCTTCCACAATACCATTGATACTGTTATAACGGCTCACAAAACTACGATATTAGTCCATGAATACTGTCCGTGCCAAAACGATCCGCCGTGCACGAAGGGAAGATAAGCTGCAAGCATTCTATATTTACCGCAAAATTTGGCTTGAAAGCTAGGCATACCAGTGCTAGATGGAAACGAATTGGATATAGGTTTTAACGTCTTCGCAACCTTGGTTTTCGCCATTGTGGCGTCTTCAGGGTTATCGCTAGAACATTGACAAGACAGCGACGAGGAATCACTGCGCTTTCGTTTGCCAGATGGATCCATTCCGATGTCAAGACTTCAAAGGTGTTGTTCCGTGTGACACTTCAAATAAGTACAGACGAGAACATTGCTGACAAATGATCATACGGATGAGGCTGAATCTCAGAGGACAAAATCATCAGCCACAGCTGGCGGCTAGTCTCCCCTAGGCAGCCCTTAGAGAACAACCTTGGGAGTGTAATGCGGACGGTCGTTCTATGGGCCAGGGGAGTCAAACTTGAACTGCGCGAATTCACCGCAATGCTCCGGGTGGACTTCATATCTACTGTATCGCAATCAGCTGGAGGACATTCGCTCTGACTGCTCGCCTGCAGGGCTACTACAGAAAGGTACGCAGGACGTAAACTTTCTACATCGAGATCTATCACAAAAACAGCAATATCCAGGCAGAGTCCTCGGTCGGCAGTATATACCTAGCAATTTACATACGGAAACAAATTCGGACAGAGAAACATAAGCATGGTCTGTGTAAAGTTGGATGGTGGCGACCTTTGTCAAATTCATTCTTGGAGATTGCTCTCCAAAATTGTGCGGGCCTCGTTATAAGCATAGTCATCCAACAACCCTTCATCGTCGAGAGTGTCTAGGGCTTCCATTACCCATTGCTGACAATCCCAAGTCGGGATCTCGTTGCACATGCGCTGTTCGACTGGCCTTGTCATCGAGTTCCGAGACGAGCACGCGCTCCTTGAAACGCAGCGACGATTGTGGGTCTACACCTTCCCGGACATCAAGGGCGAGGGATCCACTACTGCCAGCCGCTTGGTATATGGTGTCATTCACCTGGCCGTCGGCGCGCTCCCGGAGGCGAAGAGCCCAGTGAGCCATAGAGTGCCCAGATGGGTAGGAAATCGCAGCATAAAGGGTGGCGGAGGACATCTGCAACAGGCTCTCTTTATCAGCCGAGACAAAGAGGACATGCTTGATGTCGCTACTCACAGCTGATTCAAGTCTGTATCAAGAGCGGAGTCGATGGAGGAAATGAGAAATGGTGCTGAATACACTTGATTCTTTGTTTGTTTTGTTCTGGGAGGCCTTTATCTTCTACGGCAGCGCTAATCTGCTACTACACGGATGGTAAATGTGCTGCGCCAGTCTTTTTTGGTTGTGCTGGGAGCTTGAATGCGCAGAGCTTAGATATCTTTGCGAATGTGTTGTTGTGGGTGTCCTATCGATAATGACGGAATCCGTAGCATGGGGCGAAAAGGGTAAACATGTGGATCGGAGTTCTCATCCTCTCGTTCTAGCAGGGGTGTCGCTATATAAAACAGTATCATCTAAAAATGTTTCTCAGTATACTCGGGGGACAAACGAAGCCGCTATGCTGATGAACATGAACAGTCTGTGAGTGGCGTTCTTCATATCGCAGCGGCGTATTTTTGCGGGATTAATGAAAATATGACGAGTGCATACTCACGCATAGATTCCGAGTCTCGGAGTTTCTCTGGTTAGCCATATAGAGACATATGAGTATGTGGTCATGACGGCAGGTGTGTCGTTTTCTCCCAGGGAGGCTCGAAAGGGTCGTGATGACTCTGCGTAGACAGACAGAATGATAATCGTACCGATCGAGTATCGACAAATCTACGAAGGTCAGCTCGCGTTCCAGAAGAACCTCGTCTTTTCCCTGGACATGCTGCCCACGACGCGCATGCGTACAAAACCAAAATGTTCGCATCGTGATTTTCCGCAGTTTCGAATTCACCGTGACACCCACCTATATGTAGGACGCCCTTTTATTATGATATAATGATCTGTCTGTGCCGCCTGCGCAACGATCCTGTCATTCTGAATATTCGCATATTATTAAGAGACATCCGTAATCTATCAAAGACATACCCACTAGCAGCGTTCAGTAAGAGGCTATCGTAGCTTGAAGCTGGCGGCTATGCCAGTAGTCACGGTTCGTGATGCCCTCCAAGGGGTCCCAGATGACTGCACACATCTGGTGCTGTGCGCAGATAATGCTGGAGCATTATCTGAAATACTAAACTGCGAAATGGGACCAAGTCAATTGGTTTCAATATTAGCGGCTCAAACAGTGAAAGAATTCCTCCATAAGAGTGAACGACATCACATCACACTCCTATGGGTGCCATCTCACAAAGATGTAGCTCCCAATGAATTCGTCGATGAATTGGCGAAGGAAGCACTCGACGAGGAGCAACCTGAATTCACATCGCACGCGAGAGCAGTTGCTGATTGCTTGGCCAGAGGCAAAAAGAAATGGGCAAAAGTGTACACTTCACATAGATACAGAGGTTGGTGTATGTGGATATTGAAAAACCACAATCCCCTCAGCCATATGAACAATCGGTCATACCCATTGAAATCACTTGGCAAAGACAACCAAGAGATGGCTAGAGCCTGCAGGGTACTCACAAACCATTTCCCCAATGGTGAGTACCGGAGTGAGTATCACATCCCAGGACCACACAACTGCCCCTGCTCCGGTTCGCCGGATTCCAGGGAGCACACTCTATTTGGATGCCCAATGTGGATTAGACACAAACAGGGCCGAATACTGAACTACGCGCCAGACGATCTCCATCAAGCCCAAGTGCGAAGACAAAGAGGATGGACAGAGGATGATGTACTCATCTTCCTACGCCTTAATCTGATGGTGGCCACCTTCGAGTGGGCGGAAATACTCGCTCAGGCAGCCACCGACAGAGAAGAGGGATGCGACTCGTCAATCGCTAATGCCCTTATCTACGCTCACACGAACTGGCGGACAAACGCCTTCCGTGAACACTGCAGGATTAATCACTACACTCCTGAAAAGACGATTCCGGGCACACCAGGATGGGAGTCCTTTGTCAAATTGTACGATGCAGATAAAACCGCCGAACAGCTTATACGGGCATGGAAGGACTCTCCTCCACGAGCACCAGCACATTCTTTCCTAGCGGATACCAACAATGTGGGTCAAATGCTTCTATGGCAGGACGACCAGGATTTCCAGGACTACGCCCCGGACGACTCAGACTTCGAACATGCATTAGCAGAGTTAGAACTGATCGAATCGAGGTGAATCGGAACCGGCCATAGTGATTCATGAGGCATGCCATGAGTAATTGAGTACTCGCTAAATTTATATTACGTGATCAGTTCCAATCAAGATGCGAGCGCCCCTCTAGACTCGCATGCCAGTAGAATGCACTCATCCGTTTTCGTCGAGGGCATCAGAACGGCTGGATGCGAGCCTAGCACACCTTGACTCTTTGCGTTCATTTTATTGCGCTCACAAACACCATTCTCCCCAATTCGATTTGTCCCCATTTTTCAAATGATGGCTGAAACTCGATACCAACGTCTGAACAACTCTACCGCACGTATGCTATCGAAAGCTCTCGAAGAGGACCCAGCAGGAGACCTCGAGCCACTGCTGCATAAATTATGCGCGACCTACCCGAAACTGCGCTGTGACATAGCAGAACGCCACAAAAAGAAGCGCATGAAACGTGAGCTTTCACCATTGTATCGCTTTGTGAGTTGATACATACAGTCATGCGGTTACAGTCGCTACACAGGAGGAGGAACAGAAACAAAAACAGAAACAGAAATGGAAGGCGTTTTATCTTGAGTCTCTCCCTTTTCCGCTTCCTCCGTGCGCAATCGTCTTTCCGCCGTCATCCTATGTACGGGAGTTATTGGGCGTTGCAGATAAAACATCGCCATCGTGTTTATCTGAAGCTGTCGTCCACCATGTGGCGCACGGAAGGACAATCTGGGAAGGATTGTCACGCTCGGTGGTGCAACTAGGAGACGTAGCGGTGAAAGTTGGATCAAATATTGAGCACGACGAACACGAACTTCTGCGATACTTGGAAGAGCACCTACCAGATTTACCAGCTCCTCGGGCCCTGGGCCTTCTCACTGTCGGACGCTTATCCTATTTTTTCATGTCTTATGTCCCGGGTAATACACTTGAACAGCGCTGGCCATCTCTTTCCTCCCAGCAGAAGATGGATATCCGCTCGTCTCTGAATAGCATATTGGCGAAGCTACGATCCGTCGAACTTTCACCTGGCGCGCCCTTTGGCTCGCTAGCCGGCCTGCGTCTGTGCAAGGACTTGCGGATGGATATCACCACCAGCTCTGTTCCAATATACAATGAAGCAGACTTCAATGACTTCCTCTTGTCTCGTACGTCATCCCGCGCAGCGCAAGGGTATAGACGCTGGCTTCGCTCTTTGACGAAAGACGACCATCGGATTGTTCTCACCCACGGCGACTTCCATCCCCGAAACATCATGGTCACTGACGACTCCAGCGGTAGAGCGACTGTCTCCGGTATTATTGATTGGGAAGCATGCGGTTTCTATCCTGAATATTGGGAGCTACTCAAGGCATTGAATACTCGAGCTGTAGTTGATACCAGCGATTGGTGGGATCACTTACCCAAGTGCATCCTGGGATATGAGCGGGAGATTGCGGTAGACCATCTGGTCGAACAAGGAAGGATATAGCGTGTTGTTTATTCTCTGCATTGTGATTTGTGCTCATTACAACAAATATTTCAGTCGAGTATATTCATGCCATTGGACGTAGGCCCGATCCAGCATCGTGATAATAAACAAGCATACCCGCCGGGTATGTTGATGAATACCTGAATGCGCACCGGCGTTCAGATTAGCATGTCGAAACCTTTTGGCACAGTTTGTGATTACGGCAGATTGTAAAATAATTTAGATTCATTCCCGATTCTATGAACAACTATTGATCAGCTACAACAATGTGCAGAAAGATGTGCCAGTGGAATATCTTTTCGCGGCGTCGACATGAGACTCAGCACTGCACACAAACGCAGGCACGTCGACATCCCTTATCTAATGCATCCTAGAAAGGCATGCAGCCCTGGGTCCTGGTGTGGAGCACAGAACTTTGACAAAAAGAGACACCACATCTTTCTGCCCATTGCTGTAAGTGATGTAGTGCGTTCATAATGCATTACAATTCAAAAAATATTCTTCCGACACAGGAGTGATAGTTGGCCGAGGCATGCGTTAGAATGTATTCAGGGCGTTCATCGCGAGAGTTCGAATTCAAGTTGGTCTTACACATATACTATGCGCCTAAGAATCAAATCAACTACTAGCAATTAACAAAATAAGAAAGTAGAGGGAAAATAAATATTGAGACCCGTAGGTCCACCACTCCGGGAAAGCGTGTCATCCTTGTGCAGGGGCCATGCTAATCTTCTCTGTATCGTTCCAATTTTTTCATATGTCACCCCATAGGGGACATCAGTGAGGGACTGATGCAGGAGGATGATCACATGTTCCTGAATTTCGTTGAGCCCGCGGGTTGCTCGCTTTTGCGCCCAACACGCCCATCAGTGGCATCATTGGACACGTTGAGAACGAGGAGTCTTTATCCAGCGATCTGCGTCCTGGAACTCTGGCAAGCTAGCTCAGCAATTCCATGTCCCATCCAACCTAGTCTCCAGGGGACAGTGAAAGGACTTTCGCGCTTGCGTACAATATCGCGGCCCCTACGCTCCCTGTATCAGCACAGCCCCACATGCGAGCACGATGCCACACGAAGGAAGGCTATAAATATGCCGAAGATATGTTTACATTGAGGTGCTACACCCTGTGCCGCTGCCGTAGTGTACATTCGCAATATGCTACGATCTCTTCATGCAACGCTGCCGGCCTTGCGCCTGGAACGAAGAACCTGTATATCAATAGGTGCGACAGGTGACTTGGATGTGCAGGAGAAACGTACAGTTGGTAACCGGCAGCAATGAACGGAATGGAGAATGGCACGCATACGAATGCGAAGTATTTCGCTGCGAAGGCTTTCTTGTTCTTGTAGGTGAACGGCAGGTGCTGCATCGCCAATACAAGCCTATAAAGCGAGGACTACCAAGCGAATAGGAGAGGATCGTACCTGATGGGTCCCATGCTCTGCATGCGCCAACCGGACCTGCCCAAGCGAGCGGCGTGGGGCACGAGCCAATGTTGTGAGACGCAGAGACGAGGACGACATCCTAGCGGCGGACATGACACGAAAGACAATAAGTGTGCAAGTCAGAGATCGTGGGGGTTGAAACGTTGAAGGCCAAGGGTGCGCAGCGGAGGAGACTCGGGAAATCCACTTGCTATGTACGGCGAAGCAGGTGACAACGGGTTGGCCAAGTATTTGCACCAAGACCCTATGTATATGTACCCCACGAAAGAATCAGCCCACGCACCAGATACGAAATATGCACACTGGGGCTCGGCTTCGAGAACACATCTACATCGGTCCAGCCGAGGCGCGGCTTGCATTGATGGGGCCATTCAAATGCTCTAGAAACCATGGGAGGCCGAGGGGGAAGAAGTCCGGGTAGGCATCATGTGGGGATGGCGACCCAGACACAGAAATCCAAGACGAGACCGCAGGAAATCAGATGTCCAGTCCACTCCAGAACACTCGGCAGGAGCGCGGCCCATTTGCAGGAGACAAACAGTCAACCTGCTACAAAAATCGTCAGATACATGTTCGACATTTGACCATCGGAGTCGCGTACAACTGCGACGGTTTCGAGCATAATATATCGTAAAAGGACGATGAAGGATGCTGTGATGTCCAGAGACGACAAAATTCGTTTAGGCGCCGGTTAGTTTAGCTGAGAAAGGAAAGCATAACGCCCGGGTATCATGGGATCTAGTTCAGGAATCCTATGTACGGCCGCGTTGGCGTAGTGGTAGCGCGCCCCACTTGTACCATCTGAATAGGTATGGGGAGGTCACTCGTTCAACCCGGGTACGTGGCATTACCTTTTTTTTGTGGTGCTTAGCTTAATATTGGTATCCTCCTTCGTCTGTCTTGGATAGAATATCTCGGGAAAACAATATATGCCCAAGATTTATCGCTCCCACATCGCAGCAGATCGCGAACTAGATGGAGCCATGATAAACACTCATGTTGCTTCTTGCGAAGTATCATCCCCAACGTCAACGCTGAAGGTCTTGCTTCGACACAGAAATGTCGCTCAGCTTATACACCTCCGTCCGTCTTCTGTCCGGTTCGTCCCTACCACGAACTCATTATTGATGCTTGCATACTCATGCGTATACGCACAGGCTATGACATGCCTTTGCTCGGTTTGGGGGTGTACGAAAACGACGACTGCGTGCCCGCGTGCCTCACGGCGCTGAAGCACGGGTACAGGTGCGCATGCCTTTTATTGCCCCCAAGTACATTTCATGACAGAATGACGATTCTGTTTGTCGAAATGCAGGCATATCGATTCAGCGCGCTACTACATGAACGAAGACCAAGTCGGCCAGGCTGTCCGGGAGAGCGGTGTCCCCCGTGGAGAGGTATTCGTCAGTGCGTCCATGTCCTCTTGCTCCCCTCTTATCGTACCGATCATGCATTCGCTACAGCGACGAAAATCTATCACCCTGAGCATGGTTTCGAGAGCACACTACGTGCGGTAGACTCCTCCGTGGAGCGCTTCGGCCTGGGTGAGCAGACTCGCAAACCGCCTCGTACATTCACTCAAGTATACACTAATGAATAGGGTATATCGACCTGTACCTCATCCACAGTGGATTGTCGGGGAAGGAGAAGCGACTGGATACGTGGAGAGCGCTTTTAAAGGCTCGCGATGATGGCAAGCTGCGCACTGTCGGTGTGTCAAACTAGTGCGCACTTTGCTCAAATGGTCGATGATCACTCTGATCTGACTCGACATCTGTGGTAGCGGAGTGAAGCATCTGGAGGAAATTCGTGAGGCGGGGCTCCAGATGCCTGCTGTGAACCAGATCGAGGTCGGTTACCATAATGCCTAGCAAGGTTCCGCAAATTCTGACATTGGACACAAACATACAGCTCCACCCGTTCTGCCAGCAAACGCCGATCGTCAAATACTGCAAGGAGCATGATATAGTCGTGCAAGCGTACTGCCCGCTCGTTCGCGGCAACTTTGACAATTCTGTGGTGCAGGACGTCTCGCGCAAGGTTGGTTTCTTCTCAGATTTCAGGGTTTTTCCTGCGCTTGCCGCATCTCCGCTCACGAAACACAGTACAACAAAGATCCCGCACAGGTCCTTGTTCGGTGGTCTCTGCAGCATGGGTGCGTCCTCCTTCACACTCATATAAAGCTGCTATCTATGCTGACTTCTCGTAAAGCTTCAGTCCCCTTCCAAAGTCGTCCCAGCCCACGCGGGTGGTGTCCAACGCGGATGTGTACGACTTTGAGATTGCATGTGAGGATATGGCGCGTCTGGATTCGCTCGACATGGAAGGTGATGGCGCGACGAGCTGGAACCCCGTCGATGCGGACTGAACTGGGGGTAATAGAAGTAGGGAACATCCCAGTCTATCAAAGACACACTGGTCACGATATTGAGAGCTGGCATCTTGGATTTGGAAAAGCGGATTAGATTCTACCACGAAGGGCGTTGCAGCCGACGCTACACCTCGCGCGTTCCCGATCCGTTCAGTCTCAATTGCAGAATCGGTACGTTTAGTAGGACAAAGTAGGTTTGCATACAATGCTACGGTCGTAGGACAGGACTAAGTTTACAGATGATACAGTTACCATGAGGAAGACTAGGAGACATAGTGTTTAAGAGGACGTTTCCATCTTCCAACGTTTTCGAGCTTCGAGGGCTTCAGCGGCGATGGCAATCATCTTCTTATTGTCCCTTCCGTACGCGGGTGGCAGGATGACACCAATAGAGAGATGTCTGCGTGTAAGTTGTCTGTAATTTCGGTTTTGTTCCAGGTGATCTGGTGAGTAAAGGATAGGACGATTCTGACGAGGGCTCCTTTCAATTTCCTCTCGACATCGTTTGTGTGAATGGGTTGGTACGAGAGCATGTCGAAAGCGGGAAGAGCGGCAATTCGGGGAGGGTGTAATTATGCGACAATGACGTGCAGCGTAGGAGCTGGTGCGCTATCGTCGTCACCCCTGGTTCCCGATGGACGACCTCATGTGAACGCAAGGTTGACGTCGGACGACAAATAAGGCTAAGGATACCATTTCTTCCACGAAACCACGCTCGGTGAAAATAATCTCGACGTCACTGCCACATGACCGCATGTATTGATCAAATCCTGATGAATCATCAATTCTCGTTTCAGCTGACGCTTGCTGACCCACGGATCTGCGCTCCACTTCATTTGTCCTGGTCATATCTTCGAGTATTATTCAGACGTTTCGGAAATGGTGCATACATGACAAAGATCTCAGGTTAATCCCGGGTCCAACTTGCCATTGCCATGACAAAAATACAGCAGCCTCACTTTTCTCACGCATCGACCTGCTTGCCTTGCACCTCCTCTCGTTGAAGTCAAACCCCAGTACGGAGACACGAAAACATGGCTCTGAACATACTCACCTCCGTCCGCCTTTCATCTGGTGGGTTTGCCCTATCAGTGAGCTAACTTGTCTGCCTGATACCCGTGGCTTTTGCAGGCTACAGTATGCCCCTCCTCGGTCTCGGAGTGTTCAAGAGCAATGATACGCTTTCCGCGTCCCTTGCTGCGCTCGCGCACGGGTATAGGTGTGTAAGCCCCGGCGCAGTCTCCTGGCGAGTCGCTTACTACTACTACTAGGCACATCGACTCTGCGCGCATGTATGCTAACGAAGACCTGGTCGGTCAGGCCGTGAGGGAGAGCGGCGTCCCCCGCGGCGAGGTTTTCATCAGTGCGTATCTGCATGCGTACACGGAGGCACGGTAACGTGGCTGACCAAGGCGCACAGCGACGAAGATCCACCAGGAGCACGGGTACGAGAGCACGCTGCGCGCTGTCGACTCGTCGCTTCAACGGCTCGCATTCGGTGCGTGTGCCGTCTACGCTTCTACTCCCGTGCAGGTCGCTGATGTAGAGGGGGCGCAGATTATATCGATCTGTACTTGATCCATAGCCCGTTATCGGGGAGAGAGCGCCGCCTCGAGACATGGCGTGCGCTCTTGACGGCGCGGGACGAGGGCAAAGTGCGCACCGTCGGGGTATCTAACTAGTCTGTGTTCCTATTCGTTTTCTGGTATGCATCTGACGCTTCCCGCAAGCGGCGTGAAACACTTAGAGGAGATCCGCGAGATGGGCCTCGAGACGCCTGCGGTGAATCAGATCGAGGTATGTTGGACCTGCCTTCATTCTGCCTTGCAGCGATGCTCAGTGGTGCACATATGCGCAGCTGCACCCATTCTGCCAGCAGAAGCCGATTGTCGATTATTGCAGAAAGCACGGCATCGTCGTGCAAGCGTACTGCCCGCTCGTCCGCGGTGCATTTGACAACCCTGTCTTGCAGGAAGTGGCACGCAAGGTGCGATGGTGTGTTGAACTTGGTCCTCCTATCTTCCCTGACCATGTGTATTCTTGGGGAATTTAGTACAACAAAGAGGCCCCGCAGATACTTGTCCGATGGTCCCTCCAACATGGGTGCGTCCTGTTTGTTACTATAACGACACCTCATACTGACCCAGATACACAGCTTCAGTCCACTGCCCAAGTCGGCTCAGCCTGCGCGGGTCGTGTCCAACGCGAACTTGTACGATTTTGAGATTGCGCCGGAGGACATGGCTCGTCTGGACGCGTTAGATAAGGGACCGGATGGCGCGATAAGCTGGAACCCGGTTAATGCGGAGTAGAATGTAGGTGGGTGAAAAGCGTATGCACCAAAGACAATGCAGAAGAATTCCATTAGCGAAACTAGTTGGGCCATCGGATGATGGAATATAGAGCCTGACAGAATTCACGTTGGTATAGTCGGTCAGATATGCTGCATCGAATAATATATGGAGGAGCCACTAACGGTTGACTAGATAAATACCAGTACAGTAGGTCTGATCTCCCTTTACATAAGGTTAGTACTTGATTCTGCGAGAAACCTTGCTCCATGGCTTGCCTGTGCTCAGTAGTATATCAACCCTGAAGCCTATGTTCCATCGTGATGTGATGCCTCCGTATCCTGGTGGCTCGAAGTTGTATTATGAAAGAGATAGCTACTATTTGCCGCCGTGGAGGCTGAAGTTGCTAGATCCGCTGGGCAGAGGCACGGTCATCGACACCTGTCTGTTTGTTTCCATGTTTTTATATTCAGCACAGGGACTCAGTAGGATACAGGGTATTACTGCCGTTCATTTGTTTTGGGAGTACGTGGGCGCGCCGGCCTGCAACGTCGCACCGCCATCCGAGGTCAGATGTACGGCGCACAGCTGAATTTAAGCCGGCCATAAAATTAGTTGTTTTGTGAATTGTGCGTTTTGCGATTGATAATGGTTCGTTCGCGCACATAATGCACGTCATTCTGAGTGGTACTGTACATGCCCTCGCAACTCCCAAAGTGCTCGGCATTGAGTACGACGTCATGGATCATCAAGTATCACCGTACGTGACATTAAAAACATAGGAGACTTCGCCTTCAATCACCGTTTCTTTTTTCCTCATCCGCACAAAATGCGTCTCGTCGCTACTACTCTCCCAGTCAACCCCCCAAGCGAGACTCTCCACCTTACTGAGGCACAGCTCTATCAGGGCCTCATCTCAAAGGCCCGCGACCCAATGTGAGGTTCCTATCCGATCTCCGCTGCGCCGCTAACCAGCCCTCCTTCAGCCGTTTCGTTAAGCAGATCCAGCAGTGCCGCATCTTGAGCGAGCATGAATCTGGCCTCCGCCGCGAGATCGTCTTCACAGGGAGGCCCGAGGCCATGCTTGAGGACGTCGAATACTTCCCACCTGGTCTGGTGGGCTATGTCGCCTATACTTCCAGACTGCCTCCTAACTCTTCTGTGTGACTCGGCAGGTGATGTTCACAATGACGTCGCCGACGTCCAACGATCGCACAACACCTCAGGCGCGCATAACGAATTTGATCAGTCATACACCTGACGGCGGCCTGTTCCTTACATTCAGCTTCGCTTTTGGCCCTAATGGCCAGCTGGACAAGGACTCGGAGGCGGATACGCGTGAGAGGGAAGTGCGCAAGGCGGGCGAAGAAACCGTTGCCCACACCTTGGCTGTTGTCAGAGAGTTGGTCCAGTCGGGCCAGATAAAGGCTTGATGATTGGAAGCGTTGTGTAAAACTATTCATGTCGTGTTTCAGGATGCTTTTGGCTGAATGGAAACCAATATCATCTCTTTGTGCTACTCACATTACAACCTGGCTGAATATCCTTCATGACTTAAGTTACTGCTGTAGTTCTGGGTTAATTCTTGAGTCAATTAATCAAATGAACTGAAACATAATGTGTGGTGCTTAACAGTAACTTGGTCTCGAGACCACACTCTGGTGGATATGAAGTTTGAGTCCTCAGCAATATCAATAGATCACTGCTGCTTTTGAAATAGTGTTTACAATTTGATGCTCAACTGTGGTTTCCACCACGGAACAAGACCGATTAGGATGCTTCAGGTCTTCCTTTCAAGTGAAGCATATCCATACATTACTGACTTAGTATCGTGGCTGACACTGCCTTGCCTGTAAATACAATACTCTGTGCGCGAGAGATGTGCTTGCTAGTGTGCTGCAGCCCCCATGACTGTGTTGACGGTGCCGCGCTGCGTGCGATCATGTGAGCCCTACGCTGTGATCTTGTAAATGTGGCGCCCCTCGATTATGGCATTTGAGTCCTCAGGAACCAACAAGACACTGTAGCCAAGTGGTTACGGCGACAGATTCGAATTTCGCAATATCTGTTCCTCTTTGAGGGCGTAGGTTCAAATCCTGCCAGTGTCGTTATTTTTCATCCTTGTACGTCTTCATCCTCGCAAATCTTTCTTCGTGATTTTTTTGGGATTTGTTGTGAATTGTTCAAAAATTGTTGAAGGTGTTTCAGCGGTGGAAGTGATTCGCACACAGCAACCGTAAATAAGCGCCACAGTACACATGATCGCGGGAAGTGGCGCGCGCACTCGCGAAAAGGGCAAGTATGTAATATTTCTACCTGTCCTCGGCCAGTTCTTCCGATTCTGGATTACACGGGGTGTAAAGTGCCAATGTGGTACCGCAGGGAGGTCATAAGGTGAATGTACTATGTTCTCTTTTAACGAGTCGCCAATTTGCAGCCGCTAGTTAGTATTAGGAAGATCGTATCCATCGAACGCAAGTGTCTGCATTACCTCGCTTCAAATCGACGTTGAACGCTGAGCTCGCAATCTCACACTAAGCGGAATAACTCGGTCTCAGAAGTAAGTCTTGCTCCTATGTACCTGTGTTTTATTGGCGAGATATATCTCGTTGACAATCTGTAGTCCAGGTTTCGGCCTTGATGTTATTACCGTGAAGTATGGCCCGGCACTAGTTTATATCTGCTTGTCAATGAGTAATCAGTCCTCAAGTGTGCATGGAGCGTGTATAACTGAGTCATGGTGCTAATATGCCATCGAGTATATTAACCATTTGTGAATGCTGAGTACTACAATCCTACAATCTCCTGCTAAATGTTGACTCCGTCTGTTCACACTCCGTATTCTTCTACATAGCCTACAACATCTGTCCCGTTGGATGCTACAACAATAATCCCAAGCGATACAGTGAACGAAAGTATAAGTTAACGTCGAATGCCCTCTTGAGGGTCTACCAGCGGCGTGAACGTCGACGTCGGTGCGAATGAATGGGTGAAAGTGAGGGCTAGATGCGATTGCTCGCACTGCAATCTCAATCAGCATATAATCTGGAAATGATAAGCAGTTTTCACATACCTGATAGCCAGGATATGACGTTGAGCTCATGCAATGGTGCAGCTCCAGTTGTAGGAGTTGGTGGTGTCGTAGTTGCTTGGCACTTGGGACGTCTCTGCGGTCTCTTCGGAGGGAACAGGGGCAGCGATCGTGAGGAAGGCGTCCATTGCTGAAGAGTGAGGATGAGTGAGAGTGAGAATTTGCAGAGGTAGGCGGGGACGTTGGAGTCGCTGAGTGACTTGGGCTGCTCAACGGACTCGATGTCTGCATTTATAGTGTGCAGTCGTCCGGCGGCATTGTTTCAGACAATAATGAAGAACCGTGGTAGGCATAGATGATGGGCGAGCACGGGCGTGTGTGCCTGAGATGCGGACTGAGAAATCACTGCGACGTAGGTGAGCTCTGCGTTATTGTCTTCACCTCATTGCTGAGTGGCGCGCGCCTCAATCAATGTCGGTATCTGGTTTGGAGCCGACATTGCACCATTCGGTCAATAAAAAAAGGACATCTTTGCGAATCTACTGCGACAAATATGTTGTTCTCAAGAATCAATTTCAATCCGGAGAGCTTTGATGACAACATTTTCCAGCTTCCACAGCAGACCCGAAGGCTACATGTATCGTAAAATCATGTAGCGGAAGACGAAATCGGTAAGTCACGCAGTATCCTCGTCTCGGATGCGGGTACACGGTGCGCGCTCTCAGGTTATTGTAACGTCTGCGCTTCGACCACGGATGTCTACTGGCGAGGACACTTTTGATGATCGGATCTCGCGCGAAACAAAAGGCTCTTCGCGTCGTGGGATGACCCCAGTGCGCTCACTTCCGTTCTTGTTGTTCTGTCTGCCCCGTGTGTGGCAAGCGCGCTTCGTTGAGAGTTGTCATTGACAGACTTCCCCGAAGCTTGCCCGCGCGGCTGCTCGACGCGATCATGTGATCGTGATTATGCGTCGCCGTGCGCGACTTACACTGAGTCCAGACGCGTGCGCCGCATTGACTTAGTAGTGTGCATGACGCATGCACGTTCCGCAAAATGACGATATGCAATTGATACAGTGACTGGCGAAATATACATACATATGGTCGGATTTCAGATTACACCAGCATGCACTACAACTGTCCCTATCAATAACTATCAGTACATTACAAAGTTGTTCAATTTCGTCTGCATTTCCTCCAACTGTCTTTTCTCATCCGCCAGACGCTTCCGCTTGGCTTTTAGAGTGGGATCTTCCTCCAAGAGCTCAGCGAGGCGTCTGGAAGTGTTCGCAGCCCCCAGATCCAGCTTTTCGACAAGTTTCGTCTCCAGACCATTCACGAACCGCTGGTTGAGATGCCGCTGAATTGTCAGTGGCACGTTATCGATCACACGCTGGTTGGCAGAATCTAAGTACTGGGTCAAGCATAATTGACATGGGCTTACTTTATATGCAACCTGAAAATAAGCTCGGACTGTTGCCATTACTACCCTCTCACTTTCGTACGGGAGTGGCTCGAGAGGTGCTTCCGGTTTCGACTCTAGGATTCTGGCTTCGTAGGTCCGCGAAAACACGGAAGGGGAATATGCGACAGGTTCCTCGCGAGCCTTCTGGGAGCGATACCGATGTGGGTTACGATATACATCTCTGTAATGTTCGAGGCAGTTTGAGCGGACGGTCTCAAAATAGTGATTGTTTTGTGTGAAGTAGGGGACAGTTTCGCCCTCTAATACATCCGCAAGGACTTGGCGTGCACGCTGGGTAGATTCGCCAAGCTCATTCCGGATCATTGGACTGTGCTAAGGTGAGCATGCACCTTGAAGACAAGCATACGCAGCATGCATACGTACGCAATATACTTCTCAAGTGCTAGGAACTGACCAAAGTGCTTGGTGATCTTCTCATTTACGATCGCTGATAGATCACCGAGAACGCCGTCGAAGCATCTTTGAGAGGGCTGAGGCCATAGATCGACGGACCGCTTGATGAGGACCTTTATGGCCTCATAGGGTATGTGGTGCGGGAGCTCCCAACCTGAGCAGCTGTTGTGGAAGTTAACAGCTAAATCCAAGGCATCGTTCAAATGATACATACTCTTCGATGACTCGACCGACGTCGAGTAAGGTCATAGGAGGTAGGGTGGACTTGGGGCTCCTGCTTTCAACATCATTGTCAAGAGTGTCTTTCACAAATTGGGGGTCGATGATGATGTCTTCCTCCTTGATCTTGGTCACTGGCCGGAAATCAGGATATGTCGAGCGAATATTCAGCTTGAATGCCTTATAAGTCTTTTTATTGAGATGGACGAATTTCTTGCTTTCATTGACGGCCTCCACGTCACCCTGGAGGTCTTTACAGAAGCGCGATATCCTAGTGAAGACCTCAGTGGACGAGTCAATCGAGACAGCCTTGGGCAAGCCCTGTATCTCGACTAGGCATTTGCTCAATTTTTCCCGCACTTGCTCCTTCAGATAGGGCAGCCTTATTAATGCGTCAGCGTTGATTCCAGGAACGAAGTTTGCATATACTCACGATTCTTCAATGACTTTCATCAAGACCTTACTAATGTACGACACCAGGTTCGGAATGCCTACTCGGTTACAAGAAAGCAGCTCCTTCCAGGGCTCTGTCGTCTGAAAAAATGTCGTGGCTAAACGCTCCAGATCTTGACGCGACAGGTTTTTCGCTCGCTCTTCGTCGTCGGGCAGCCGCACGACATAGTATCCATGTTCGAGCTTGTGAAATCGTCCTTGAATGACGTCCAGCCATTTCTGGCGAGCTCCGGTTGCGCCAGAGGTGAGGGAATCTGGCTTCGTGATCACGCCTGATGATCTATTATGGACAAGCATCATGGTAGGGCGAGAATTGTCATACCAATTGTACGTTGTCCGTTAGGATCAGCGGCTCTCGCAAGGCGAACTGCCTGCTGATTTTCCATATCATCTATGCGTTGGTGAGCTCACTCTGTCTGCGCTGAGAGAACGGGAGAAGACATGCCGCTTGCCGGAATGGTTACAAGAATCAAAGTAGACTGCTCCGAAATGTACCCCTCCACAAGAGACTTCACCAATGAGATGACCGCGTCATCCTCATTCTGAACAAGACCTATTCGTCCAAATTGAAGTATCAGCGGCATGTGTGAGACTCTATGGAAATTGACTACCTGGGAGATCAACAAATGACAAGTCTGTACCCTCTGGGTCCTCGATATTAATCACTACCGCGTCTTTGGAAAACTTGAGCGTTTGCTGGTCTGTGGTGGCATGACTACGGAGATTCTCATACCCCATCCCTTTGAAGTGGTTTGGAGGTAAGTGTGGGTTCAGTATCGCCGCTTGTGCACGTCGGAGCCAGATTTCGACCTCCTTCTTCGCCATGAGCTTGGGGCTGAATTGTTCGTGCTGTTTTCCTGCCCTACCTAGAGAGATCTCACAGCTCCACACGTCTTCGTTTGTCAGCACTGTGCACTCCATGGGGCACCTAGCGGCGATTTTTTTTCCAGCGGTAAGACTGCCGACACGCTGTTGTGTACTGGTGATTCTCACCTAGTGCATGTGCCACTATCCCGAGGTACGCTGATCTGCGATGAACGATTAAGAAAAGAAATTTTGTAAAACTAAATGAGACTCACTCCTGTGAGAGCTTCGACCAGGGAGCTCTTGCCAGCTACACCAATGTCACTCCTTCGTTAGGGTCACTATACACGACAGACTCCACGTACCTGATTGCCCGCCTATGACTGCAATTCGGGGAATATCAATATCCACGCCCCCCCTGTTATCTCGCTCTCAGATCTCAGGTGGTCGCAGGTGTGAACGGTGAAAACACGTACCCCAAGGCCCTGAGATCCTTGACGAGCTTGAATATTTCTCTGCGCTTTTGCGCATACTCTGTCCCAGCAATGTTGAGTGTGGTGGTCACAGAATCCATATCGACGTCAGCGTCGGTAAGGTCGATGTTGATGCTGGTGTTGGCGGTCGAACTTGTATCAGCGTGTCTTCGGCGAAACCTGAAGCCCTTCATAAGCCAGAGAGGGTTTGTGTCAAACCTACCAGCCCGCATGCCCCATTTATGCAGCGAGCTGGTACCAGCGCCAAATCACCCACACTGCATAGGCTCAATAAGAAAGACAATACTTTCCATGGAGGGACAGGTCATCAGGTGCATACCAGTGTACTTGAGTACGCCCACAAATGTCCAGCCTCAGGTACTCAGGTACTCGCATAGGTGAGTTCCTTGACATTTGAGCGTCTGGCCATCAGCAAAAAAGGGCATTGCTGGAGTGCTGGAACTCTGGAACCATTTGGCAGCAGCCGCAGATTAACTGAAGGCCGCGAAATTTTCACGCAGAGTTCCTTGTAAGCATGAGTTAGCATAATTGGGGTACTTAAAATGACTGTAGATGCACAGCACACCTAAAGATATGTCTTGATATGCCAGTGTGTTAGAGCGCTTATACAAGGCTGAGCGCTGAGCGGCTGGACTGCCGAAATCGCCTCTGAACTCATCTGGAAGCTCGGGTACAGCACTTCAGACAATTTCTTGTTTTGCTGATGCTGGATCATCGTCCGATGAAATTGTAGCACCGGTCCGGTAACTTATACTAGTGTTGTACAACATGCGTTGGCACAGTTACGAATCGTCTTTGGTCTAGCTTCGATACTCCCAATCGTGTTGAGCAGATTCCCGCAGTGGCTGCTTATCGTGGGCGAGCATGGAAAAGAAGGAGATGGCGCACCATGTGGTGTTGTATGCTGCAGGCAGGCGATAAGTAGTACCGATTGCTAGCCAGGTTGTCAAACCGTACGGCTACGAGGCTATTCTGAGAAAACAAGGTCCCTTTCTAATTCGAAATCGTGGCGATGCTGCACACGCTTGTACGTAGAATCAGTCTTCTCTGCATCGCACTAAGTAGAAGACACTTACCTTCGACGTGATCGACTCGGGTACGGATGCAATGTGTAGACTAAGAACAACCCGCTGCATGAATGTCATGGACTAGTCCACCTGATGCGGAAGGGGGATATCTGTGCTCGGAAGATGAACATTCTGCAGGGACAACATCCATTGCCTCGTTGCGTAACAAGAACTCTAGTGGCAGGATTCAGGAGCATGATGTCACTCGTGCATGGAACTAGGTCAAGCTGTGATAACGGCGCCCTACCCTAGGATCATCCATAAGGCAGCCCAGGAACAGCATTGCAACAGCTTGTACATAGGCAGGCCTTTAGAAGAGCCGCGCTTCGCTCGCGTCACTACGCAGACCGCTTGGAGAACAATCTCAAGCCGGGGTTCGATGTTCAACGTTCAACATCGACAGCCTTGGCTAGTGGATTCACCTAGCACCATCGCTCATCCGGGCCGGAACAGAAGCCATGCGTTCCATATATACTGGATGCGATTCGCAACAGCCCGGGCCTCTAACTTGTACATTAACATAATACCAATAGGCCACCCATCCTCGCGTCACGCCTTCATTGGACTGCTCGAGGAGTGTGTACAATGCCGCCATAGTCCTCGTACACTCTTACGCGTGCCAGACTTTCGCAATAAGCTCGGTAAGCCCTACGAATCGATACGATTCGAATTAAGCTTTTCTGCAGAAACACGTGTGTCCACTCACCGATGTCGTTCGTGTTGAACTGATACACGCCAACCAAGACACCGACTGTAGTAGCTCGAAGGGTCCAGGTAAGGACGCGGCCAAGGATGGGGAATTTGCGGGCATGGAGGTAGTCAACGAGAACCCCGTCGAACTAAATAATTATAACAAAGAATGCATCAGTGCGGGCTTCACACATAAGAGCAGCGCAGCCGCTCTATAGCCGCGCTACCCCTAGGGATATACATGACGAAACGCGACGCACCCCAATATGACTATGCATTACCAAACTGACCCCCAAAAGCCCATCTAATATCGGGTAGTTGGTTCCACTCGTCGCAAACGCAGCGACGGTGAGGGGCACGAGACCGGCTGAGAGTAAACGCTCGAAGGCCCAGTGGTATGATCCATGCGATTTGGATGCAGGAGGGAATGTAGTGGGGTCGTTCACTGTGCCCTTGTAGATAGCTAACAATGTGCTCGAATTGATGTACCACAATGTATGGGGTCAAGTTACTCACGGCCGCCTGGGACGTATGCGGTATCTGACGCTGTCCTCGCTGTGTGTCGTACATTTCCAGAGCGCACATTATACAAAAGCGATGTCGGGTTGTATTGGGTTGCGTATGTGGATGAAGCCATACACCAGCGAACAGTTACCAGAGCAAAAATATGTCAATCTGGCGGGTCCGAAATAGACGGGGATGGCACACACCCTGCACGACGAGTGGTCGAAGAGACCTACGCGTGAACGTAGACACAATACGCTTGTGAACGGCTGAACGGGCAATGAGCGAGGAGGCCATGGTGGTGGTTGCGGTTGCGGTCGCCGTCGGTGTCGACTTGACTTCCGTGAGCTCGAGTCCATCACGTGCACATCAAAAGCCGAATAACGCCGCGGCGCGTTTATTCCGCTTTTACTGAAACCCGTCTTTGATAATGACTCTGCTCTTGTGGAACCACAGGAGGAAATTTTGGAAGGGTATACTCAAGCCCATGTTATTTTCCGAAACTTTTCTTGTGTCAATTTACACAAAGCTCGCTTGGACACAGCACTTCGGAAATACCCGGGAGTTCGCGCGTCCTGCTACACGCTCACGTGATATACGGACAGCGTAAGCTTTTACGGCCGCTTCACAGTCGTCAGTTGAGACGACTTATAAGATGACGAGGATTTGTCCCGGTGCTACGATTTGCGGGAAACAGGCAACAAGACCATCTTTCTGGCTTTCACTCACTCCATGGTTACACACCATCACTCGTGAGCGGTTTATATCGAATTCTGCAGATCGTTGAAGGCCACATCTATACATCCTGACGCCTTTGAGTTGGGACTTGAAAATCAGTATTGGCAGCAGTGCAATTAATAGGTGAGTTATTTGTGACCTCACGCCGCATGAGCCTGTAATGCATGAGTGGGTGACATGAGCATAAGCATAGCAGTGCCCTCCTGCAGTCGAGACTGAAGATATTCATTACTATTTCTACAGACCTGAAGAAATGGCACCAATCAAACTAGCGATTATTGGGTCTGGACCATCTGCTTTCTACGTCGCCTCGCGATTACTCTCTTTGCTACCATCCACGAGTCCTCAGGCATCTCGCCTAAAAATTCATATGTATGACCGACTGTGGGCACCCCATGGACTCGTGCGGTACGGGGTAGCTCCAGATCATCCAGAGGTCAAGGTATGATCGATGTCCTATCATTTTTTGAATTACTATCAAGCGCGCATTCGCACTTTAGAACTGTACGCACAAATTTGATTCTGCTGCTGAAGATCCACGTTTGCGCTTTTTTGGCAACATAAACATTGGCACCCCGTCTGTCATTCCACACACACTACCTCTGTCGTTGTCTACTTTGATGTCTCACTACACGCACTTATTATTTTCTACGGGATGCACCGTTCCTATCTTACATTCTGCCCTTCCGCCCTCTACATACTGTGTACCGGCATTATCCCTAGTGCATTGGTATACACAACACCCTTCATCTCCGCCGCCGCCTCCGCTCGAACGACTTTCACACATCACGCTCATCGGCCAGGGCAACGTCTCGCTCGACATCGCTCGGATGCTGCTCACACCTTCATCAGAGCTCGCGAAATATGATGTCCCCGCTCCTGTCCTCGCGGTCCTCGAGCGTTCCGCCATCCAGCATGTCTCTATCGTTGGGCGGCGAGGTCCTCGCCAGGCGGCATTTACGACCAAAGAACTTCGGGAGATGATGAACCTGTCAGATGCATCTCTTGTGCCTCTTGATCCTGCCTTGTTGAAGGCACCGGCGGACGGTGCGGAGTCGCTCACTCGTCAGCAGTCGCGCGTGCTCCAGCTGCTTCAGAAGGGCTCTAGAAACAAGCCAGGCACCACGCGCAAGACATGGTCTCTCGATTTCTTCCGCTCACCAACTGGCCTCATCCTCCCGGACCCTTCGCTGTCACAGCAAGCTACGTTGACGCTCGCGCACACGACGCTTGATTCTTCCTCGCGTGCTGTGTCGACGGGCGAGACCTCTACCTTGTCCACGTCCCTCGTCGTCACCTCTCTCGGCCACCGCGCGGACCCGAGCGCAGCCTGGTACGATCCGGCATTAGGACATCTGCGCACAGTGGGCGGGCGCGTGATCGACGCGGCGGGGCGGACGATGCGCAACGTGTACGCGAGTGGATGGGCGGCGACAGGCGCCCGGGGTGTGCTCGCGAGCACGATGATGGATGCGTATGCAGTGGCCGATGTCATCCTGCGCGACGCATTCCCAGGCGAGGACATACAGACCGTACCCGTTGTCGGCGTAGATAGTATAGATGAGAAGGCGCTCGCCGAGGACGTTTTGCCGAAAGAAGTAGATGTCGATAGTATTCCGCCTGAGGTCGAGGCAGGGTTGCGTGATGGTCGAGTCACGGACTACGAGGGCTGGAGAGCCATCAATGCCGAGGAGGTTAGGCGGGGGGAGGCGATGGGTAAAGAGCGAGAGCGTATGGGGTGGCAGGAGGTTGAAGCGTTCCTTCAATCCGTAAGGCCTCGTCAGTCTTGATATATTCGCGCAGTATCAGGCATGTTCATTTACTCCATAGAGAGACAATTCCCTGACTCTGTCGTATTGGGAGTATGCAGCCGGCCTCTTCGACCTCATCAAGTGATTAACAACATCTCAAATACACCTTTTAATTCCCGTCCGTAGCTCTCATGGACACAAACGTCTGGGTTCTCGCATGAGTGAGAACTCTGTCGATCTCACGTTGAAATGTTTCTGTCTATTTTGGGGGCCATAACAACATAGGATCGGCGTACCTACGCCATCAGCAAAACCCGAGCCGCAATATATACGATGGCATGTAATGGCAATAAGGCCAGAGATGATTTATGTATTTATAAGTAGACAAGACATG